AAATTCAGATGTGCATTGTATAAAAAATGATATGACCGATAGTTGTTGTTCACGAAATATCTTTATCTCGTTTATCTTAAAATAAACTGCGCTGTTATCAGACATCTTTGAGATTAGATGAAAAGTTCAAATTGCGCTAAATAAAATAAAAAAATTTAACGGTTTAAAACGCGATATATTAGTTAAACTTTTTAACTAATATATCACGTTTTAAACCGTTAAAGTGTTTTATTTAGATGAATAATAATATATTTGCTTTTTATTTTGCGTTATAAATGATTTATTTAATATATACCACTCAATCTACAGACGATAAATCATTTTAGTCAAATAAAATGAGGGTGTTCTGGAGATAAGTACTTAGGTATTTGTATTCGTCAAAAAGGGTTTCTGCTACAAAATAGAAGCCTTTTAATAATAGAGGAGGATAGATAACCACGATGCGCTGTCGGCCTTTTTGATGATTTTGACTTTATTATATTTCCACTAATAAGAATACCTATTTAAACAAATATCACACATCCAACAAGAAGAGATTAAAGGCTACGTAACAACGCATTTGTACAACTTCTCTGTTATTATCTAACAAGAAAAACATGTGAAACGGAAAGATACCATGCCTTAGACAACCCGTGCGACTTCTATTGCATTGTGTTAATTGTTATCTTTCGGCATTATTTCGCTTAATTTAATGATACAGGCTGGTAGGAATTTAAAAGGTTTAGATTCAAATCTCTATGCTGCAGCTGTTTGCAAATGCCTCGTGCGGAGTACACTCGAGTTCAATAGTTTGATCCCAGGTGGGACAGGGAGGGGACGAAAAAAACAATGGTACCTACTGAATATTGTCTGTAGTTTATGTAAATAGTTCACATTTAAATAAAACACTTTAACAGTTTGAAAAGCGAAAGTTATACGTTTTATTTCGCGTTAAAGTGTTTTTTTTTTGAATATCTTAGCTGTTAGCCACGTCGTCGCCTGCGTCTCGACCTTCTTTGGAGTTATATTAACTACCGCCCGACGTGTCAGTTTCTTTGCAGCAGACGTGGTAACAGGGAGACCTACGGAATCGGGGAGGTTTATCAAACCCATGTCAACCAATTATCACGACTAAGTGAGAATAGCAGAGAAATCCCCCTAACCTAAACTAGAGCTGCGTGGTACATCTAAGTTTGTAACCTTTCTCCTATGAGACTGGAGTTCTGTACTAAGCAGTAGATAATGAAACGAATGCTGTCAATATTTTTTCTTATATTATAATCCCAATATTGATTCTTATCTATTGACGCAATTCTATTAACATGCCCAATGACCATAGTTGTGTTTGTGTATTACAATAAAGATTCGTTTTTAAAATAAAACTGTCTTAACTGTTTAAAAGGCGAAATTTATAAACGTAATCGTAGTCACGGGGGGCTAAGCTGTAAAACATCCGAAAAGTCGCGATCGGCTCGTGGATAAAATAAATTGTAAATGAATTAACTAATTACTTACTTAACTTACTTCGCGTAAACTACATTCTTTGTTTTTCTTATGAAGTTCCCTTTTATAGGACTATTTTTTTTTTAAATATTTCTATGATTGTCCTATTTGTTTCAAAAAAATATTTTACATAGATAACTGAAACTTGTGCAAAACTAACTGAAAATAGTTCACGCAAAAATAACTATCGATCCATTTTTTTATGTGCAAAAGAACAGCTCCGACAATTTCTAGCTCAGATCTAGACCAGACAATATGGTTCCATAATTCCTGTAATGGCAGTTTATCTAAGTCTATCGCACTGAATAATTAGGTATTGTATGTTAGATTTTTATCGGAGGGGTCATTATGTTGCTCATACAAACATAGTGTATATGAAACACTATAACCCTTAAAATCTATACTAATATATAAAGCTGAAGAGTTTGTTTGTTTGAACCCTCCAATCTCGGAAACTACTGGTTTGAATTGAAAAAAAAATTTACGCCCATAATAACGCGGACGAAGTCGCTGACTCAGCTAGGATATAATACTGGCTAAATATTATAAACAATGTTTACAATCAATCGAAAACCAGTGTAAGCGAAGCAAAAAATATACACCGGACGATGCAAAAAAGCTTACCATTTGAAGAATTTAAACGTTCAAGAGAAATCCTATTCTAGATAAAGTAATTTAGGCTGTTCTAAATGCATGATAGATATTATTTCGAGAGAAATTTGAGTGCTACTGCCTAATTAGTATGTTAGTGCCAAGTGGATATTTGAATATGAAAGTTAAACCGTTTTCTACAAAATATAGTTACGCATGATGATCGATAATTACAGAAGATTTTAAATAGGATTATCCTATGATAAGGCTATTTAAAATTTAGAGACTACGTAACGTAACGTAACGTAACGTCATCTTTAACCGATTTAAAAAAAAGGAGGTTCTCAATTAAAGTACTGTACCGCTCAGTACCTACTTTAAAGTACTAAGCTGTACTATAGGCAACTATGTACAACGTCAAAGGCACATCAATGTAACTATGTACATACAGATGTAAAAGCTCGTTTTATCTTATGGGACATGTTATTTACAGGGATGTAGTTGATACGACTTGTATGCCCTACACAAAGGTTTCGTTTCCCCTGGCTTAGAATCCAGGACCTTGTGCCTAACGCTAGGCAATACGTTTGACCATTAAACTACTATCAATACATACATAGCCTGACAAAATCATTACTGTCTGTAGTCTACGCCAGTAGACACATTTAATAAAAACACTTTAACGGTTTAAAACGCAATATATAATAAAATAAAATACTGTCTATAGTTTACGCGAGTAGTACACATTTAAATAAAACACTTTAACGGTTTAAAACGCGATATATTAGTTAAACTTATTTGAAAATCATTTTTAACTTCGGCCCGACGTTTCGGATGCTTTGTAGCAGTTTAACTAATATATCGCATTTTAAACCGTTAAAGTGTTTTATTTAAAAGCAATATATAATAGTTAAACTTATTTGAACATTATTTTAACTACGGCCCGACGTTTCGGTTGCTGCAATTCACAAATAAATTTAACTCATACTTCTGCTGATAATTTTCAAATAAGTTCAATATATTTTACGTTTTAAACCGTGAGTGTTTCATTTAAAAATTATAAGGCACTCCCCATTTGCATCGGTATGAGAGAAGTGATTATATCATATTTATGTTCACTGTGGCCGCAACTCCCATGTCGTCGGTTCGTTCAACTAGTTGACCGAGGAATGCATTTACTTACCTCTGTCATAATTTAAAAGTCTTTATGACATAGACTGTACATTAGTGGTAATAGTGCATTGTTCTATCACGCCTTCACTACTTCATTTCAAACGTATTAACACTGGAAGTAAAAAAGGAAATTATTACAAGAATGTCTATACCTTTGTTGAGACGCCTAGTTGAAATACCAACGCCCTATCTATTTTAGTAGATAATGTTTTTTCAAGTAGCACCACAGATAAAGAACATTGCGTGTTGAGACTTGCCATATGTGTAACCATATTTGTTTATTTAAAGTAAAAATGCTGTGCTGATACAAGCGTAGATTTCATTGACTATAGAATTACTAGAGACACTGACATACTATCAAACAATTAGTGCTTTTACTCGACAATCCGAGCCTGGATGATATAGATAAGAATGTGTTTATGCCTTTCAACCACTAAAAATAATGAGCAAATTTTAATTAATTAAATGTCAAAAGATTTGTAATGTCGCGCCCGTAACATAGTCTAGAATGATGTCTAATATCGTACTTCGATTAAAAATTTTCTAAAACATTATATAATTTCAAGTTATTTCGTCGACAGGTTATAGTTTCATAACCTTTGAAATTCTCTTATTATTATAGTTCATTTGATGTTAAAGATTTAAAAGTTACCTAAGTTAACAACGATCCTTCCAAACTGATATCATCTCATAGCTTTAATTATTGCTTTCATTATCCGTAAAATAAGCTACGCTTACATTAATATTGCATGGTATTCAATTCTATTCCCATTTCACACGGTTCGCGAACAATGCTTGTAATCTTGATGCCGCATTAACTTTATTTTTTATTGAATTACATTTCCTCATTATTTATTTTCGGTCTCGACTTCGGTTTCACTTCATCTTTTGTCTGATTTTGCTCGTGCCATCCACTCATTAATGGACAATTATGATCCACCAAAGTCTATCATTACTTTGCAACTTGCGATGCAAGTTCTTTTTAACCACGTTCAGCAATATTCACTTTCATTTTAATTTGGTACCGAAGCTAATTAATAATAATTATCTGGTGCTGTCTCTTCATGCTGAATTATGTAACTCGATGATGACGTATGACGAGAGCAAATTCTCATGACTGCTCAAATGATCACGCGAGTCCCTGGTCCGTAAAATTGTGTGATACAAGCGGGCTAGGGGACTGGGGAGCATGTGCAAGGGGTTATTGCCACGGAACTGTCTATCAGTCGCCTGTGCATATGTGCAGGGAGCGAATAATGTTTATTTGTATGAGTCTCTAGTACCGAGTCTGATAATCGTGCCGCGGCTTTGGGTGGGGCGAGAGGCCGCGCCAGTATTCAACGCGATTTCGCCCGAACACAACGTACTAGCGGCTTCCCCTTTAATTTCTACAGTGACGTGTTTACGTTTTACAAACTTTGAACCGAAAGTTGATCAGTGTTATTGGTGTTTATCGTAATGCGTGAAGTCGATTCACGAAACGATGTTAGATCAACCGTTGAGAGTTTCAAATCGACTGCGCCGGAGCGTTTTCTTGCCGGATATAATTTTGATTCTACTCTACGACAATAATTAAAGTTGAATCGTTTTTGATTTTGCGAATTGTAACTATTTAAAATGTAACGATGAGTGTCGTTCGCAACTAGAATTTATCAGTGAAGACTAAATTGTGCCATTAAAGCTATTCTAATCCAATTTGAGTCATTAAGTATAAGTTTAGTGCAATATTGGACATTAGGTTTTTGGATTTCTAAATGTTTAAATCTGGACTCTTCAACCGGTCGAGGACCACAATGGCTGAATCAATTGAGGTTGAAGATAGTTTAGAGCTAGAATACGATATGTGGGATGGACAATTTGACTTTGTCGGACCCCAAGATCCGCAATTGCGGCCTAGGATCACTTCGGATAGTAGTTTGACTGAGGATTTATTTACCGGCGCCCCGTTGACACCACACTTGAGTAATGGTCTCAATGGTGGAAAGAAAACAGCTGCACATCAATGGTGTGATAACTTATCTGACCAAGTAAGGATTAAATGAATGTTTACATAAAATACGCCTTCATCATTTATTATCATCAATGAGGTTATTTCTGTTATTCTATTAACTGACGTTTATTGTTTGTCATGCTTGATTTATCCTTAAATGATTTGTTTAATAATGTACTTACCTAATTTGTTACTCGTCTTTAGACCATACTACAGTCTTGCTGAACTCTTTATGCTAGACGTTTTTACAGCCACATCAAATAAAGTAAAACATTGTGTTTATCATTCTTATATCAAGGGTCTACGACCATATTTGATTGAAACGGTTTAAATTGTTTTATTTAATTCAATGTGTCCAAACAGGCATGTAGATACATTGTCGTCACGCAATTACGTTATATCATCTCACATAGCTATATTGAGACAATTTGTCATGTATTACGTGTATACAAAGTTTTGAATTGCGTGCACATTTCAGAATAGATTTACTTCCAACAAGCGTCTCACACGCAAGACTTATTCATTGGAAATTCTACTCTGTTTCCGCCAGCGAAAGGACTAATCTTTCAGTGGTTTTAGCAAATTTTCATCATCGATTTTCATGAAAATATGCCAGAACCGCTAGAGTTTTATTGATCTCTAAAATCGTAATATCTGCATTGAAGCCAATCACGCATGGGGTGATATAAGTCAAGATTATATTTTGATAAAACTGTAATATTTTATCTTAGTTATCAGCAAGTGTTTTTGGTAAACAGCTAAGTACATTATGAAACACCAATCTTGTTTAGTACTTCGTGGAAACATTGAAAAAATACAAACCCAACAACAAACAACATCAACAAAATTATAGAAGCAAAATTTTGTAAGGCTTTATAATTATTTGTTTCAACGTGAATACACTTAGATGTCACTGTAGCAAGTCTATAAAATCATAACTATATAATAGATATAATACATTAAAGTTTCTTTAGGAATCATGGGGCATCGTGAAGTTTGAGTTAGTTTAGAGTTATCTTAAAGAATTTTTGCACATACTTATAACTATATACATTTTAAAGAAACTGCATAATTTAGAGTTGCAAGACAATGTTGCGTACGCTGATGAATGTTTAAACATCATGTTCAGACTAATTACATAATTAGTTGATACTTAGTTTTTTATAGGCCTTGCGAAGAGCGACATATAAGTGACAGTTTTCTCTTTTAATATTAATGTTTTATGAAGCTTATATAGTCGGGTGCCATGACAGATAACGATGCACGAAAACTGAAAATCTTTCCAATTATTACATGAATTAGGGCACAGCATTTGGAATATCTTGTCTGTAAACAAAATATATAAATGGGTCTTGACCTTATTTTGTGACACAAACAGAAATATGTCTATACCCCGTCACTGATTATATAGTGAACGAAATATTACACTAAAGAGCTTACCTACTATATTATACTAGCTGTGTCAGCGACTTCATCCGCGTAGTAATGGTATGTTGGAAATCAAAATTTGTTTGCGAACCTCCTCTTTATTTTTACGAGTTTAAGCTGTTATCCACGACGTTGGTCGCGTCCCGTCGCTCTTGCAAGTCAATCTACTTACTACATATACTTTCGCGAACATTTTTTAGATAATTAAAAGTGAAAATTCTATTATACACATTTTATATCTTGAACCGTTAAAACAAACAAAAAACTCTTCAGCTTGATAATCTGAAAATTAATATTTTAAAGACAGATAGTAGTTTTTTCTGATTAATGTTATATTTTTAAATTAGTTTAAGTAAAGAAGCCACGGCCACTTTTCGCGTGCATTACATCAATTAACCGGAACGAAGCGGTATTTTTCTTACTTTATTAGGACTTAGAAATTGTGTGATTCAATAAATCTACGTTTCGATGTACGATTAGAAATCGTCTTTTACAAATATGAACGAAGTGCTCGTGTAATTATTGTTCTGTTTCGTAAAAGTAAATAATTGAAATACGATTTATTTAATCACAAAAATATCATTCATAATTTGTTTTTAGTTCATTAAAGGCATCAATGACGCAAAATTAGAGGTGTGTTAATAAGAAATAAAAATATGTTTTTAATAAAATATATTGTACTATACAACAATACATTCCGTTGCATAGCCTCGTAATCACGATCGCTTTAAAACATCCGAATACAATCGGTTTAAAAAGATTCATTTCGCGTTTTAACCATTAATACAGTGTAAACTCTATATAGCGACACTAAGGGACTTGCATTTTATGGCGTTATAGAGAGTTGTCGTTAAATGGAGAGAAGAAACATTGTATGAAAAACAAGCTAAACCAACCAAAGCCAATTAATTTCGACGCTTAAGAGAGTTTGTCGTTAAATAGAGTAACGTTACATGGAGTTTAACTGTACCTAATTGACATCCTAACATAAATGTGTGCAAAAACAATGTTAGTTATAACAGCGAAAGTAACCTATAAACTTAATATCATTATGTAAGTGATATTTTCTTATTGACACTAATAGCTTTGAGAAATCTCTTATGCGTTATGGATTATTCTAGATGCTATACTAATATTATAGTTATTCTTTACGAGAATCCCCCCACTTATTTATTCCATTTCAATATCTTATTTCATATCTTTAGTAGAATCTGGACAATATCATAGCTAGGTGGACAAGCGAAAAGGTCTCTTTCCCCGTAGCTTGAACTTATAATATAAACCTTCAAAATTATAGCAAACAGAAACAGTTCCTTTACAAACTTAAAAAAGATTTTTTTTTCTTTTACAATCTCTTTTCAAACATGAGGTTAGACCACAAAGCTCCTGAGGTTTGCATTACCTGGCCCTACAATAGCCACTGAATCTATTCCAATCTCCATCTTTAGTCTCGGCCACGGCTGCTGCAAAGCATCCGAAACGTCGGGCTGAAGTTTTAACTAACATATCGCGTTTAAATAAAACACTTAACGGTTTAAAACGCGATATATTAGTTAAACTTATTTGAAAATGATTTTTAACTTCGGCCGGACCGTTTAAACCGTTAAAGTGTTTTATTTAAATGTGTACTACTCGCGTAAACTATAGACAGTATTTAACATATCGCGTTTTAAACCGTTTAAGTATTTTATTTAAATGTGTACTACTCGCGTAAACTATAGACAGTATCTATTTCAATCTCTTGAAGTAATTCAACTGTTTAATATAGTTCCCACGCGATAATTTAAATAATGACGGGATCTTTCTAGAAATGACAAAATTAAACAATACCCTATTCTAGTAGTTTTGTTTATGGAACCCGTTTAATTTCTTAATGTGTAACTAGCATAAGTGAAACAGTTTTAACTTAAAACCGAACTACATTAATTTATTAAACTTTGACTAATACACACAGTCGTACATCGACAGTCATTTATTTATCCTAAAAAAAGTGTTTATCAATTGTATATTGTGTAACTAGTTTTTGCCGCAAATTCATCCACGTCCAATAAGTGTTAAAATTTGTCAACATTGAATTTGCAAAGAAGGAAATATATCCCATACAGACGTAAGGTCGCCTACAGATTTTCAATACTTTTTTAATTCAAACCACAGATAAATATTTTTTTTGTTATTCTGTACGGTGTCTATGATGTCTTATATTTAATCAGGAAACCTGAGGCGACTGACAGTAACCACAGCTACTGTCTCTAGTATTGTCCACGAATGTCGGGTTATTTCTTATGCAAGTTTATTCTATTGGTTCGTAATACTCTACTTATACTGGATATTACTTTAGTATGAAAATATTTATTTTTTACAAATTTCATCCGCTCTTACACTCAAAAGGGTAAGACGGGACGGAAAATAAAATTACTTAAGGTCGTACGTATAGCGTGATTTTTTAACTCTTCACGCGGATTGCTTTCATTAATTTAGTATATCATTCAAATAACTAATGCTTTATATTGTATATTAGACATCGACCTCAATATTTATAAGACAGTACTCAAAAAACGTTAGGTGACGTTTAGCATTTTTTGCCATTGTTTTTTTGGTATTAATTACATTGTCGTTACAAGTAGGTACACTACGTTCGCTGGTGACAGTAATCGTACGTAAAGATCCATGTATATTTATATATTATGTAAAGTTAACAAACGGTGGAAAGTTGTTAGACAAGTTGGACGAAGAAAATGTTCGCTCGGGGAAGTCACGAGCGTCAAGTATTCAGTTGGGTACTTATTGATTGTACTAAATGATAACGATTATAACTTAACTCTAACTTGTTGCATTGTTAAAACGCATAGCGTATCGCGAGAGGGACTATATTCAAATTCCAGGTCATAATATTTACCATTAGGCGTGGAACAGAAGTCCAAGAGATTATTAAAAAATCTACCAGTTACGTAAATTCGTATTTAAAAGTATACGTATTATAAAGGATTATAATAGCTATCACTAGTTAAAAAAAATATTACGTAAAAATTATAAATATCGCTTATACGTATTCGGTAGCTGAATTGGTTAGACGCACGGAATGCCGTGAATGCCGGTTCAAGTCCTGCCCGTGTCGTATTTAAAAAAAATTCATAATCGATTTGAATTTATATAGTGCCATCAAGTGTCATCAAAAACATGAAAGTTTTCAAGTGATAAATAAGTCGTTTATCTTAAATAATAAACATAGAGGGTTCAAATCCCAACGCGTCCAATATACTTCTTACTGTAACGGTAAATGGTTACTCTGAATATCGAAATACCGTCCAGGTACGAAGCCATCTACAGATGGAAAAGCCGTAAGGAGCCGGAGATTTTCTGAAAAAAAAAGCAGTGTGCATTTTCCAAATGTAAAAGAGTCAAAACAGTATTTTACTTTATATAAAGTGAACCTGCTTGTCTCAACCTCCTCTGGCGTAAAAAAAAATATTGTCATAATCAGAAACGTTATGTACATAACTCAATTGACTTGCCAGTACAACTACTCGGTTAAGGTTATCATTTATTATTCTGCATTGACATCGATAATAATATTATCTTTAGTTTATTATACTTTTAAGACAGACACTTTGATTTGTACACTTATCATTCAATAGTTTTTTCAGCCTGTGGAGAGATTGTTATTAAAATAAAATGGGGAAAATAGTAAAGTGGCCTAAACCTTTGATTTTATTCCAAGCTATTTTATGTTAGTTTCCTTCTTAGCCGTATTTCTTATTCGTAATATTTGATTATAACAACACTGCCATAACTACTCTAGGTATTGTAGGTACTCACGTATCTTACGCATAATGCAAACCTGTCAACAAAAGGGACTGCATGATCTACCTCGTAATTACTATTCAGAACGTAGGCCCTCATTCATTTATCTACGTCACAAAACCTTGAATGGGTGTTCATATCTTCCTACTGATGAAAAGTCATCCTACGTTATATAGAAGTAGTTTAGTTTAAACTTATTATATAATCACACTGCTGAGCTGGCTTAGAGCTTTGACCCACAACGTTGCTCCAGTACGGGCTGGTGGGATTTACTGACTACCGCCATTAAAACATTAATTGCAAACGGGTGTCAAACCAAAAACAGCACTTTTTTATTTACAATTCTTCGGTCTTATTTACTTCTCCTACTTTCAAGCGTGCGAATTAGTAATGGAAAGTTTCCAAGAAATAAAATAAAATTATATCCCACCCGCGTTTTGTAGTCTGGACAATTGAATTCTTGTTTTGATTTCTGAAAACAGTTATTCCGATCCGCAGCTGCTTTGCGAAGTATCAAGTCGTTATTTCTTAATTTACACAAGCGCAAGACTAGTCGTGAACGGAAATTAGTTTTAAAATTAATTCAAGGCCCATAGACCGTGAAGTTTGTAGAACGATGGGTACTCAAAGCACATTTCTGCTGACACTTTACAAAAAGATAATGTTTTTTTGAGAGTTCTTGAGAAATGCTAAAAAGCTCGCGTTTTCTATCATCTTTGAATGTTAGCAGTTTTAAAATAGACCTTTTTACAATATACACGTTAAAAACTACAGAATATAGCAAACATAATAATTACCTCATTTCTTTTAAGTTTCAATCCGTTAAAAATATTTAAAGGTCAAAGCACATTTCTGCTGACACTACAAAAAGATAATGTTTTTTTGAGAGTTCTTGAGAAATGCTAAAAAGCTCGCGTTTTCTATCATCTTTGAATGTTAGCAGTTTTAAAATAGACCTTTTTACAACATACACGTTAAAAACTACAGAATAAAGCAAATATAATAATCACCTCATTTCTTTTAAGTTTCAATCCGTTATAAATATTTAAAGGTTAATTCCATGATCATGATGATGCTTTGTAAAGAACTTCTAGGCTATATCAAAACGGTTCTGATTCGAGATAACCTCGTGAAAGTCTGTAATATCGATCCAATCAAATCGACACCATAATTGTCGAGAACAAGACAAGTATTTTTGTGCGAAATAGCATTATGTTTACTTTCACGGATCTACATAATATGATGTGTGACAGGTTCGTATATTCGAAGAAAGTGTACGTGAATGATAAGGGAGTAACAAAAAAGTTGTTATGTACATTTTTTTTCCGTTCGATTTATTCGTAAACATATAATTAAAATTAATATATATTTTATAGTTTTTAAATAATCATTGGGATGGATTTAAAAATGCACCTTAAGCAATAAAACATTGTTTCTTCATCATTATAAAGTTTATGATAATAACTTATAATAATAAATATCGTTCTAGAAAACAACTTAACGACATTGCATTGGTTTGACACTTGTTACTAATCTGTTATTTTTTATTTGAGTTTGATGCCCTGTGAACTATGATAAATCCGGCCGCAAATAAAAACATACCATTTTTTGCGCCTTTTTTAATTTTAACAAACCACATCCCCCCCTTCTCCCTAACCCTCTCTCTTTTTTTTTTTTTTTTTTTCTCAACAATACCTTTTTTTTCTCCCCCTCCTTCTTCTCCCCCTCTCTCCCCCTTCCCCTTCCCCCTCAAATTCCCCCCCCCCCCCCTTTCCTTTTTCTTTTCTCAATTTTTTCCCTTCTTTTTCTTTTTTTTTTTTTTTTTTTTTTTTCCCCCCTCTTTTTTTTTTTTTTTTTTTTTTTTTTTCTCCCCTTCCCCCCCCCCCCCCCCCCTTAACCTTTTTAATTAAACAAAAATCACAAACCCAAATCCCCCCTTTTCTTTTTTTTTCCTTTTTTTTTTTTTTTTTTTTCCCTTTTTCCCCCCCCCCCCCTCTTTTTTTTTCCCCCCCCCCCCCCCCCCCCCCCCCCCCCCTCCTCCCCCCCCCCCCCCCCTCCCCCCCCCCTTCCCCTCCTTCTTCCCCTTCTTTTCCTTTTTTTTTTTTTTTTTTTTTTCCTTTTTTTACACTTTACAACCCTCCCCCTTCCCCCTCCCCCCCCCCTTCCCACAACCTTTTTAACTTTTTGGAATTTTTTAAAATTGGGACGGGGGGACCGGGGGGGGGGGCGACTTGATAAATCCGATAGCAATAAAAACAACGATTTTTAAGCAAGAAAAAAAAAATAACAAAAAACAAAACCCCCCCCCCCCAACCCCAACCCCCCCCTTTTTTTTTTTTTTTCCCCCCCAAAAAAAATTTTTTTTAACCCCCCCCCCCCCCCCCCCCCCCCCCCCCCCCCCCCCCCCCCCCAAAAAAAAACCCCCCCCCCCCCCCCCCCCCCTAAAAAAAAAATTACCTCCCCCCCCCTCCTTTTTTTTTTTTTTTTTTCCCCCCCCCCCCCCTTTTTTTTTTTTTTTAAAAAAAAAAAAAATACCCCCCCCCCCCCCCCCCCCCCCTAAAAAAAAAAAAAAAAAAAAAAAAAAAAAAAAAAACCCCCCCCCCCCCCCCCCCCCCCTCCTTTTTTTTTTTTCCCCCCCCCCCCCCCCCCCCCCCCCCCCCCCCCCCCCCCCCCCCCCCCCCCCCCCCCCCCCCCCCCCCCCCCCCCCCCCCCCCCCCCCCCCCCCCCCCCCCCCCCCCCCCCCCCCCCCCCCCCCCCCTTTTTTCCCCCCCCCCCCCCAAAAAAAAAAAAAAAAAACCCCCCCCCCCCCCCCCCCCCCCCCCCCCCCCCCAAAAACTGCAATTTCGAGATTTATCAAACGACCTTAACGAGTCGCGTTTACAAAAATATATTTAATCAAAGGAATTAGAACCTAATTAAATGCGATAACAACCTCGAGCAATTCCAGTAATGTTACTTATCGTCTGGCTGCTTAACTGACGATAATTATAGGTCTTTTTCCTATTTAAAAAAAATTAAATCCTAAATATACAAACCTTTAATCAAATGCTTACCTCTTATTTCTTATTTATGTATTTTACACCAAATATTATTGAATAATATTTATAAGACTTACCTATACATTGACTAATCTTTCGAATAAATAGGCTTATGACGTTCCCGGGCCTACCAAGTTCCCGGCCGGATCATAATCAAGCTGTATTTGCAGACAAACTCAAAAAATATATTTGTAAACTAAGTAACGAAATAAACATACCAAATTTTTCAAACCAAGTTTTGCTTTTTTATGTAATTTAAGACAGTCAAGAGTTTTGTCTAAAATTTTAAAGTAAACGTTTCCTCTCCTCAGGTACAACTTCTTCAGCAGCAGGTGACGTCATTAGCAGACACGCAAAGCACCGCTGATGAAAGATACGCCAGGGCGAAGGCAGATAACGCGGTGCTTCAAGCTCGGGTTCACATGCTGGATGAACAGATACGTGAGGTAAAGAAAACTTATTTATAACACAAACCACAGATAATAAAGCTTCTTATAATTATTTTGTTTGTAGTCTATCTTCTGTCTAATAAATGTCAAATCTGCTCGTTAATCATTTGAAAATTATTTTTCTTTCATCTATGAATTACAAATAAGCATTAATTTCGTAACCAATATCTTGTTTGTATTCATTTTGAATTGGTAACCTTAAATTAACCTAAAATGTATTTATTAAAAGAGGAATATTATAAAACATGACTTATAACTTAATATACAGAATACACACCACAATCTCTTGTAGATTATATTGTGATATTTCGAGAACGTAACATTCGCTCCAATAGTAAGTATGCAAATTTAAGTAACTCAAATAATTATAATTTTCACATTACCTCCGGCCATATTGAGTTATTTGGGTAATTTCCATGTGAATGACTATCATTATAACACATGTTTCTGACTGAAACGTTATTTTTGACTCGGCAACAATAAAACAATTGAACGCTGCAAGATGTTACTCATGAGAATGTTTTACGTCCCATTAAATTCATTCTATGACGCAAAGCAACTTGATAGAAAGACTATGATTTCATTTTATGCTACCTGTATAAAGATCAATATTAGGGCTATGCCTATACGAAAATAACCATATTTTCCAAGGTTCCGTAAGACCCAACACACCAAATACTATGAAATGTCATTGAATAAAATATCTGTCGCCACTGCAACAAGAACTGCAGAAAGTGGCATCTTTCGATTTTTCATATATAAATTAAATCGAAATCCATGCTGTTCTAACCAATTGAGCTACCGTGTTAAGTAGCTTAATTAGTTTAGCTAGCAGCACGGAACGTTGTGGATGCCGGTTAAAACCCGTCTGTATCGTTTTTTTTTTCTATCTGAATAGACTTTTAATTTATACATTCAAACATTTTTTCATAATGTCGAATAATTATAATTTTATATTATGTGTTTAATTTATATTTACCGTTAAGATCAACGGATACTGTAAACTGCAGACTGGTTTAATTTGCGTGTAATGAAATAACCTTGGGTGTTTTCAGATCGAATGCCGCTGCGAGGAACGAATAGCGGAAGAGCAGAAACGATGCAGAGACGCGATAGCACGGGTCGAACGCGATCGTGAAACGCAACTTGCTGCTCTGAACGACAGGTTATCAGCAGCAGAAACGGAGGCTTCGGATCTTAAGCAAGAGGTATGAAAAAATTCTCACATGTTGCAAAATGCACATGATAGCATTATATAAATTAAAAAAGCGATTTTAAATTGATTGATTGCATGTACCATAATTCATTGAAGCTTAATACGCTAGGGTTGAAATTACATTGCGCGAGAAATGCATGTTGAAAAAAGTCGACGATGACGTGTATGACTCGGTACCTCATTTAGTACAGAGTCAGAGCAACAACATTGAGCGCTGTGGATGCCTGTTAAAGTTCTGATCGAGTCGTAATTCTTTGTTCATAAGTGGTAACATTTTAAACTTGCTGTGAATTCGAAACGTCGGGCCGCAGTTACAATAATTTTCAATTAAGTTTAACTAATATATATCGCGTTTTAAGCACTTTATATTTCAGTTTTTTATATTTAAATTTTTGCTTCTATCACACGTGCTATTATTGTTCTTATAGGTGGGCAGGCTGCGCGGGGTCGCTGAAACTCTTCGAGCGAACGCTGAAATAAGCTCGCGCACCGCACGCGAAGCCCAGGACGCAGCCAGCGAACTAGCCGCGCAGTTGAGTTCAGCCCGTGACGCTGAAAGGAGGGAACGCGAAACCGCCGAGGCGACCAGAGCACTCCTGACCGTCGCTCAGCAGGAGCTAAGGGCAGTTAAAGCCGCGCCTCCACCACCTCCCGATCCTCGCCTGGACGAACTCCAACGGGAACTTACGCTGCTTCGCACTCAAAATAAATGTATGTATGGTAGAATTAGTCTGACACATTGATAGACCATATTTTTCATATAAGATAATCATATTTATTATTTAAATAAAACACTGGTTTTTTAAACACGACATTTATTAGTTAATATTATATTTATTGTGTCACGTTTTTAAGGTTTGAGATTTCATGGTATTTAATTATGCTTCATATAATTCGCTGCATGTAAAGTTTACTTTTACTTACACAGAATATTTACTTATTTATTTATTAAAATTCTACAACTTACAGCATATATTGCGTAAGTTAGACTATGACAGTACAATTTTTATACAACTATGAATCTTGCCCAAACAAAAATCTAATTCGACAACAATACTTCATACTTATATTATATTCGATATAAAAACTAAATTTTAATAATTACTTTCATTACTACTTGCGACAGTTATGTTAAGAGTATTTTACTCCAACGTGGCTACAATACAACTAGTACAGTCGCGCCCTTGCCACAATATACAAAAGTGGTCTGTTGCCATTAATATATACAATAATATTAACTAGAAGCGCCTTGGCATAAACAATGACCTTCAAAATTGTGTTAAACAATTTCTTAATTTTTCTATTGAATACAAATTAACTCCCTTATCACATATATTATAAATGCAATCGTGACTTCATGAACGGCATTGACTTGGCGTGATCAATTTACTACTTTTCACAAGTTATAAAAAATATTTATTTTTTCATCGATAAAGAAGCACTAAATTTTTCATTGAAAAACAAGTAGCACACGATATTTCAGATTTCATAACCGTCCAAAACAATGTACTCGGAATTCAAACCCAAAACGCTAACAGCTCTACAATCGCACTCGGTAATTGATTGACAATAAAATTCCTATTAAGTGATAAATAATAAGCTACGCTTTACGCTTTAATATATAACACGAGCCTTACAGATCATATACTTTTTTCAGCTCTCACAGAAGCTCAAGAGGAACTACAAGCACAGATTATAACCCGCGGCGTGGAAGAAGGTCGTAGTTTGCTAGATGGAGTTAGTGGACCGCTCGTCGCCACCAATTCTTTGGCCCACGAGTTATCACAAATGAGTGACCATGAGGTAAGTTTTAATTACCTCAGAATAGTTTCCATTCTGAACGGAGTGAGTTTGTCATTTGCAATTCGTGTTTTGTAACAATTCCAGTATTCTGTTTGTAGTTTACGCGAGTAGTACACATTTAAATAAAATACTTTAACGATTTAAAACGCGATATATATTAGTTAAACTTATTTGGAAATTGTTTTAATTACGGCCCGGCAAGAGAGCAGACCTCCCTCTTGACGGGTGCTGCAAAGCAATCGAAACGTCGGGTCGTAGTTAAAATAATTCCAAATAAGTTTAAGTAATATATATCGCGTTTTAAACTGTTAGTGTTTTATTTAAAAGATTTCAATATATCCCAAGTTCTTTGTGATAATTATGAACTCTTAAAAGCTATCTCCGCTCAGGGGAACCATTCTCAACTAAATGACATAAATTTTAAGTCGATATGGATTGCAAGTAACGTAAAATTTGCATGGAATTAGGGACAAAAATCAACACAATGTTTATGTCATGTATTTGGGAACCATCCCCATTTTTTATTTCAGCTTTGCTTAACAATTAAATCACATAGCAAGAGCATAAATTAGCTATCCTAACCTGGCAGCGGAACACTCGCTGACGAGTTCAGAAACTTAAATAAATGTATAGCAGTGTACTGGTACAGCCAAACACAGCGGTGATGCGAACGAAAGAATAAATAAGTACCGGAAAAAGAAGTGCCATAAATTGGCGCGAATTGTCGCCGTTCTCATCGCTGATCTCCGTGGCCAGGCAGTACCACAACACATAATAACCTAATGTCTATGATTCTGCATTAAAATAACAACATTCGATGAGACTTCACAATTATGCTATCGCACAATATCATTACAAAATGAAATGCCCATAAATTCATTTGCATACATTTAACCGTATATGAAAATACTAAAATGCATTATCATGCTTCACTAAACAGCTACTAAAATTCCATATTCTTGATCGACGAGTCTAGATAGATAGTCTAATGGGTGGTAGGGCTATCGAAATTCCGTCCGAGTTACGAACAAGGTAAAATATTCGTTAAGATGAGTTTCAATCTTAGTCTGTGGATTTCTGAATGTCCAAAGCCAAAATAGATCGAGAGCGCATCATTGAATCAATATTAATGGCAAGTGTATCTCAGTTCCACCAGTAAGCAAGGTTTACTTGATAGAAGATGAAATATCCTCGTCTTGTCTGTCCTGCTCTATCATAAAAAAGTCCGAAGTGAATAAGCTGTCAGTAATTTGAGAGTGAAGCACATTAGATTTGATATAGACACTTATTAACGGTTAAATTCAAACCCACTGCGACCACGTCTGCTGTCAGGTCGATTAACAACACGCGTAACTCAGCAATCAAAAAGCTCCCATGTTTTTAGACAAAGCTACTTAGTATCTCATATTTAATGTTTTTTTAATACAAAGCTGCTGTAGACACAACTAAGCCACTCACGCGCTTCGCTTATCTCAGCTGGTTATTGCAATATTGATATACATACATATGCGTTTTTCCAGCTGGTTGGTAGCGAACAAAGTGATCACAGCATAGAGTTAGAAAAGGTACGCTATATCCACTAACCATTGCACGTTTGATCTTTGCATGATAATAACAGAATTCACAACAGTACAACTTGTTGGTATTGGTTTAAGGGTTGCAATTTAGTACTATTCCATTCCTAATGTTGTTTTTTACCCCCACACACACACACATACGTACACATCCCTCTAGTATTTTTTTATCTAAATTTTTTATCCTGTGGTTTACTCTTGTTTCTCAAATATACTATACCTTCATAAATCAACGTCTGCGGCATTAATAATTTTACGATACTAGAACTTATCAAATAGATACTCATTTCTTAATATATATGCTTTACAAAGCTTTATCGTATCTATAAAGGTTGCACATTATTGATTATGCTATCTTGTGGTCTATACTCTTTGCACGATTTTGTTGTATAAGGACGCAACTATATGCGTACTATATACAAAATATCATTTATTTAACTTTCTTTTTATTTTCAGTTACAAAAGGCTTTGAAAGAACAGCAAGATGTTAACGTCCAACTGCGAGACTATATTGACGGTATCCTGCTCTCAATAGTCGAAAACTACCCGCAACTACTAGAAGTCAAGTGTCAAAAGCCAGATATAAAATCATAACGCCAGTTCACCCAGTAAACCTTCTAAATTAAAATTGTCACCGTTAAAATTGGAATTACTGTTTTCGATTTTAAACTGTCGGCATATCTTGAACGCAGTACTTACGATCCATTATGTTCGATTTTTCTTTATACCTCAAATTACATACAATATTTGCAAATGTACAGTGGCATGTTTATGTCACTTTCTCTTTCTAATTACTAGCATTAGACTGAGACATGATCAGTGCCTTCGACAGTTATGCCTTAAGCGAATTGACATGGCATTTTGAACAAAGCAATTCTTTGCTGCTCATCAACGCGTCGATGATACACAAGAATAATTCAATTCTGAAATAATAGAGGAGAAAAATAACAGAAATTAGAAAATTCCAATGAAAAATATGACACTTTTAACTTCAGTTACTTAAGCGGATGTGTTTCCTTGATAGTTCAAACTTAAGAACAGTGGTACCAAATTAGTAAAACTACAAAATACTGCATGTATTAGAAATTCCGTAATTGTTACTGTGATAAACTAAAAATTAATAATGTTTAAAGCGTAATTATGTATTCTGTTTTAAATTTTACTATAATCTATTTTATTTAGGATGGATTCTTTCAAGTGGATATACTATCTCTGGGTTAAAGGTTAAAAATCAATCATGATAAATTATTCTGAAAAAGTTTAATTGTTAATCGAAAAAGGTGATAAATAAAAGCCAAGCTTATAATATTTTTAAGTAAAATTCACTTGAAGGCTTTCATCATATAAGCATGTGTATGAATTACGAGAAAAAAAATATATATTAATGTAACTTAACAGTTTACTGAACATTTGGTATTTTAAGGTTTAATATTTTGCTTTATATACTTAGGCGTTTTGCATTACTTAATCTTCATTTAAAAATCACGTGCCACTATAAATATCCAAAATATGTAAATAATGTAAAAAAAACTGTTTTAAATTTTAAGTGTTCCTCATAACATCCTTCAATAGTGTTGTAGATTATGAACGAAATTATCTTTCTAGTGTTGTAGATCTGGAATAATATTTAGGCCAGGCCGTCCATAGGTTTTATTATGTTACTACCCTAATTTTTAATTAAAGACTGCGGTAGATATATAAATATTGTTATTTGTATCGGTGCAAATCACTCTTACCTTAAGAATTAAGGTATTAGAATGAAGAATATTTATTAATTTATAATAATAATGATAGCCATTTTGAGTTGCTTTCCAAATTTTTATTTAGTACTTAGTAGCTAAAATAATTTTAAATAGAGATGTGTATTTTTACATGATGTATCTAAATGTAAGTAGCTCTTAAGCATTTATGTACATTTTGATAACACGTTTGTGAAAATAATGAATTTTAATCATATTGTATCGAAATGAAATTAAACCATTCTAATATTATGTTCCAGTGTTTTGTTTTTAATAATTTATACCATAACACATAGAGAATATTACATATCATTTCTCTCTTGATTCCTAAGTTCTTCATCATTTTTTTTCTGGCTCAAATTACTTATCACCTTTTGTACATCCAAGCGGAGCATCATAAACTTGGGATCCATATAACTCTGGAAAAACAATCGTTAGACTTTAAATGTCTACACAAATATTTACAACTTTCTCGTCATAGTCAAATTAATGAAGTTATTGTTTATATACCTACACCTTCTTATTAATTAGAATTACTTTAAAAGTACAATAACAAAGTTATACCTTCAAATGTTCCGATTCCCCCCTCTGGGTAGTCTCCACAACGTTTTCTCTATCCACTTCCCTTTTATCCTCAAAATACGTTCTCTCTACGAATTGTGACAGTTCCATCTGTACATCATTAAAGTTTGCAACATTATCTCTGTTTAAATTGACATCTCTATTTATTGTGTGAATGTCTCTCCAATTATTAATATCCCTACTGACATAATTTCTTTGAACAATCGGTGCCATCGGATCTGGTATAAAATCATTGTAATTCGTATTGCTACGACATAGAGAACACTGCCTAGCGTCCAACTCTTTTCTTTCATTGTGCAAACTCAATCTTTCCCTAGATAGAGCTACCTTTTCTTTGGCTATCTGCTTTTCTCTCAAATTTAACGAAACGACGTGTTCTTGAATCCTTCGTATTCGATCTTCATATTTTTGTTGGATCAAATTGGCTTCAGAGAGCTTTTTCTCTGCGTGCGACTGCTTTTCGATGGCGGATTTGGATAGTAGGTCTAAATCGCGACTCCTTATAAAAAAAATATATACATATTTATTAAAAAGTAAAACTAATTCATATTTTAGCATTCATTTTATTTAACACCTATATACAAATAATAAAAACGACCGACGCGCCATGTGCTTCGATTGATACTTATTTAGGTTTAACGACTACCTCCCCTAATACAGTGATGACATTTGGGCTTAATCTGGGCAGGGGGTAACACTTCGAAAATTACGAGCTATTAACATCTTATTTTTTTTTACTTACAGAAATCTAAATATCTAAGGATAAGGAACAATTTGTCCGGCATAGGACTCGAGTCATGGACGTTGTGATCTGTCAACCTATAATTTTTACTTATAAATTTATTCACCAGTTGTATTCTGTGGATTTCCTAATATTCAAAGCGAATATATGCCGACAGCACATCTTGTTAAGATTTTATATGACTGGGGTATTTTACCTTCCATCAAGTAAACTTCATGCTTCGTTCTCGCCTATAGTAAAAATCTACTTACTTAGACATTATTCTCTGTTCTTCTATGTGTAACTCCTGCTTCCGTGCGTTGAGTTTTGATTTCTCTTCCGTTACGCCCTGCAGATGCGCGTCCAACTCTGCCTTCGTTTTCTGATTATCGAAAAAAAAAAATACAAATTCGTATTAAATTATATTCACCAGAATTAACACAATAATATATTTTTACCTCCATTTCCGATTTAAGGTTTTGAATAGATGACTTTTCTTTTGCAATGGCTGCGGAATCTTTTATCGCCTTCGACCGCTCCTCTTCTATTCTAGTCATCTTATCCTGATATTCCTTCTGCAATTCATCCTTTAGTATCTGAAATAACGGCAACGAACGATCAAACTTAATCACTATATCATTTTTGAGAATCTCGAGATATAGGTACTATCGTCAGTGGTTTTAGTTCACTTCGTATTATTTTAAATTGTGTATTAGGAAATTGATTATTATTTAAGTCATCCATGAAACCTTCAATTCTTCGTCTTGTTTCTTGAGAACATTTTTCGCAAATTCCGTTTGTTTACTAAACGTAGCCTTCTCGAATTCAAACTCCATTTTCTTTTGTCTCAGTGACGCCGTTTCATCTTCTATCATCTAAAAATATAAGTATGATTGTGTGAAACTGTTTTAATGACTATCAGAAAGCAATAAACTAATGTGACGAAACAAACGACGTCCTGGAAAAGTACTCATGAAGGACCATTAAGGGAGTATAAAAAGAAATTAATAGATACTATATAATATCATAAATCATTAAAGATATCTCCTCATCTTAAGGTACTTACAGTTGTCATCTGACGAAGTCTTCCTTCTAGCATCTTAACCATATCTTTACTTTCTATTTTGTCTCGTTCAAAATCTTCTCGATCTTTTTGCAATTGAGCTATCATATCTAGAATGTTACGATGTTTGTTACTGATACTATTTGTGTATTTTTTTAGGGTAGGAGAGACATATGCTGGAGGTGAAATGGCCCCACCATATTACATTTAAGCAAAATGCTGACGACTTATTTTTTTTGGCTTTGAGGCTTTGATATTCGGATTCCTTAATATAAAAATCGTGATGCTTGAAGATTGCATTAGAAACAAATTGACTGGTAGCCAATGAAACAACAGTTAGTAGGTGATGTCCTCAGGCCTGAGTCCTATGCCAAAATATATATATATATATGTTTATTAATTTTATATATATAACCAATTAGTCTACCTATTTATAGATATATAAGGCATCATTACCATTAATTTGTTTCTCTCTAATCTGCAGACTTCTTTCTGTATCCTTATGGGTATCTTGAACCAACACTTGAACTTTCTCGTAAAGCTGCTGGCACCTGTTGTTATTATCTTTAACATCTGCAACGAGTTCATGCAAATCGGACGAGAATCCTGCCGAGTCCTTAATTAAAATTTGCTCTTGTTTAACTGCGTTTCTGAAAATATGGTCAATATTCAAATGATAATGTAGCTGTTAGCCATCACTACACTTAAATTAACTTATTATATTAATATTACTTTTCTGTCTTGTTGCAGGTATCTATTACTTGAAAGTTGTTAGTACAAAAAAAAAAAATAGCTGAAGTTAATAAATTAAAGATATTTGTTATGATTTGTTAGAAATCACAAAATTGATATTACGAACGTAATTTGCCTAAGTCAAGTCAAACATACTTAATATTTTCCATTAGTGCAGCATGATGTTCCTGGAGTACTTTAATGTTATCCAAATGTTGTTGTCTAAGTACATCATTTTCGACTTTATGTCTATCTGTTATAGAGTTTAAATTCTCTTCAGCCATTCTCTTATACAATTGGTGATGGTCGTCCAACCAACTGATTTTCTCGGTGTAAAACTTTACAAGTTTATCGCTTTCGTCTTTCATTCTTTCTTCGGCTTGACTGTAAGACACTTCGAGGAACTCTAGCTGACGTCTGAACCATCGAAAAAAATTAATTGAACCTTACGTTAGCATATTCAATTTTAAATAAAATAATATCTAACCTATAAGAAGTTTCCATTAAATCGATTTCCTTATCATGGTTCTCTTGCAGTGATTGAACCAGCTGCAACAATTGCTTCTTTTCCTTGGAGTATGGGCTTTCCTTGTCAGATGAATTGAATTCTTCTGTTGGACTTCCGTCACTATCTTGGGTGTTTAATAGTAATGCCTAAAGAAAGAATCATTTGTATGAAAGATTCTTTATCCTAAGATCAATTTACGTATGGTTTATAATGTTCATAAAATTTATTAAACTCTTGTATTCTAATGTTTAAGGATATGAGTTAGTAATGTTTTAAAAAACATGAAATTTTAAACAGCGATATAAACCTTTATCCTCTGTGTAATTCTATCTTGGTGAGAGGCGATAATGGCCTGCATTTGCCGCCTATTCTCAGCTTGCCGATGCAGCATAGCATCCAACTGCTCATGGTGAGCAACCTCAGCTTCACGTTGAACTCTTTGAGTTTCTCTCTGTCGTACTTAAAAAATATATTGTAGACTAAAATACAGACGTATTATTAAAGCCAAGGTTACTAATACTACTATTACAGTCAATGGCGGATCCAGCTTTGGCGCCAGGACTTGACCAAGACTATGTTACCCACATAGTCGTAGTCAAGTCAAGAACTTTTTTTTTTGATTTGATTTTGATAACAATAGCTACAAGTATCAAGTGGGTTTATTGTAATGAACAGTAGGTGAACGTACTGTTTTTCAAAATATTCATTCTTATTTGTACACTTAGGGAATTTAACACATAATACATAAGCCCGATTATGATCCTTTACCCTCGCCCTCGCCATTATATTCCTATCATACAGTATATTCCTATCAATGCATCCTAAATTAAAAAGCTTTGCAATATAAAGGATTTTACTAAAATCTCTTTTTACTCACTCTGCATCGCTGCTAACTTTTCTTCTTGTGCCTTTAACTGAAGTGCAACCATCAGTTGAGCTTCTTGTTCCTGCATACACATTGCCGCTCCTAATGTCACATCATTGTCATTTTCGAATACTTTATTGTGTATTGGATTTACATTGTCTAATTTAGTAATATTATCTACGATTTTTCCTTCCTTTACCGTTTCTTTTTTATCAGGCTTGACATGCTCGGATTCTGTTTTCCTTTCCTTAGTAACCTCTTTAGGTTTTTTACCTGTTAACCAGGATGGCATACTCGATTCTTCTTCCTGGAGATCATCATCTTTATCTTGAAAAATTCCGAGCCAATCGTCACTTCTTTTTTTAACATCTTGCTTACTTTCAAGTTTTGATGGAACAGACTTCGAAGCCTTACTTGAAATCAGGGTCTGCTTAGATTCACTTTTTCCAATAAGAGAATCGAAATCAGTGTCTTGATTTTTAGCAGTTGTACTTGTATTTGGTCTGGATGCTGATATTTTAAATGGAGGCCCACCTAATATATCGTCCATCAACGACTGGGTGCTCCTGCCTTTTTCTACTGGCTTCACTGTTTTGTTGTCTTCATTAGTTTCCTGCAAAATGTCTATTTTGTCTAAATTTTTAATTACTTTTGACTTGAGTGGTGATTTAATAATTTCAGTCTTTTCTGTATTCGGCTTCAGCTCCTTATTAATATTTATGGAATCTTTAGAAAACGTACGCTTCATTGGTGCCGGTGACAATTTATTCCCCAACGTATTTCCTGTAACCCGTTCTTTACTGTTTTTATTACTTTCCGTAGAGTTTATTTTTTTTGATGTAAAAGAATTTTCAGAGGGCTTAGGGTTCTGAGACTCTCCTATATGGAACAAAGTTTTCTTTTTTTCAAATGTGATCGTGGATTCCTTCTTTTTGGTGGGTGCTTTTTTTCCTAAAATATCATCGTCAAAAAAGCTATCATCACTTCCATCACTTAAAATTCCTGCAAGAGGATCGTCTGCATTAAAACTCATGATGACAAAAAATATTATGTAAAACGTTCAATATGTGCGTGACTAATTTTCAACAAGTTGTTCTATAATTATGATGTTGCTCTTGTTTACAAAATAGCCGCCATGGAAACGGAACTATCAATGATTTCTGAATTCCATAGTCTGTGGTTTACAAAGTTTATTATAGTATATATTTCGAGACTGGTAGAAAATTTATTTTTGCAAACATCCTCTTCATCTTTACAAATTTAAGCTGTTACCTGCGATGTAGGGCGCGTCCGTCATTCTTGCAAATTACCCTTAAAAGATAGACATATAATATCGCGGACATTTTTTTGAATAATTTAAAGAGTAATCACTTTTCGTATTATATATTTTTTTTGTATCCTAAACCGTTTTCGCAGCGTACGCATCGAAAAGTCACAAAGATGAATAATATTTTTTGTTCTTTTCCTCATTTCCCGCTCCCATTAGATACAGCACGTATGTTAAAAAGCCAATAGCTTCCTCGATAGATGCTTCTAACCAACACAAAAAGAAGACACAAACGATTTTACCATTTCCAAGTTCTTGAAAATTGTATTATCTATACTAATATATACAGCATAATATTAGATTAATAATAATAGATTTTTAATAATAGTTTGTTTGAACGCGCTAATCTCAAGAACTACTGGTTCCAATTGAAAAAATATTTTTGTGTTAGTTTGAGCATTTATTGAGGAAGGATTTAGGCTATAAAACATCAGGCTGTGCTCAATGAGAGGAAGGAAACGGTGGGAAATGTGGAAAACCGAGGAAAATTATTCTACTCTACGGGCTTCCCTTGCATGCGCTGCGCAAACAGTACAAGAAAAGAAAAAAAAAGTTCGAAGGAATGATTGATTTTGATTATCTTCTTAAATGACAATGAAATTTTATGTTTATCTTTAAAAAAAACTTATATGATTTTTTATGGTTATTAAATATGGCCAAAATTAATGCATTATTACCAATTATTAGTTTGACTTGTATCAACATTATTATAATAATATTAATCTTACAAACATCAAAGCTACGTCTGTCTTAAAAATGACAACTCTGTCAACTTCAGAATACCATATGACAATCGCTATTTACATTTCACTACTGTCATTTAATATATTTGTCAGTGTAACGTTTATCCAGTCACTCGGTTATATTTTTAATTTTTTTCAAAACAACTCGTTTATACTCGATTTATTGACTATCGGGCTTGAATTCTTGTATATAAATTTTTTATGCAGTTATGGAATACATTGGTAAGTTTATGAATATATCGTTGCGCTCAAGTTCGGTAAGGCAAATGTTTTTTGCTTTGTCCAATTGGAGAAACACAGGGGGGCTTTTGTTCTAGAATATTGCTAACTCATCTTGTCCTGTTTTTCAGCATCAGAAAAAGGAGACACAGCAGAGAATAGGGATCCCAATTCAGTAGTTTCAAATGGAGCATCTAAGACTGCAACTTTAGAAAATAAAATAAGCGTTGATAGTGATAAGCTTAAATCCGATGCGCCTGAAGAAAACGCGCCATGCACTTCCGATTCCACAGAGGATGCAGAATTATGCGATATACCAGAACAAGTCGAATTTACTGTAGTTTTTAATAAAAATAAACATGACATCACATTTGCTTATGATGCCACTGTATCAGAACTGAAGGCTCATCTGGAGAGAATATGCGGAGTGCCACAATCCGCACAGAAACTCATCATCAAAGGCATGGCTAAAGATGATGTTACACTTAGATCATCAGGTATAGTTAAAGGCGGTAAAGTTATGCTGGTCGGATCTAAAATGGATGACATTTTGGCTGTGAAAAGTGCACCAAAGGTAAAATAGTTTTTTGTCTAAACATTCTAAAAAAGAAGATTATATTGTAGTTTAAGGTATTTTCCCAATTTGTCAGAATAATACTGAAACCATATTTTCATTTCTTTAGGAGATCCTTGAAGAAAAAAATAGTAGCCAATCAAGTAAAGAACCACTTTGCATGCAAAAAATTCATAGAAAAGTTCTTGACAAGGGCATCCCTCCAGATGTCATGCCTGGAATAAAAGGCGTCAAGGTAAATGTGCAGATTGTAATGATTTCTATTAACAAAATGTTGAGCTTAAAATCAGTTCAAATTTTTATAATAATATTCCAGGAACCTCTTCCACCAATTCCCTTAAGTGGAATGCTGAATAAACATGGAGGAAAAGTAAGGCTCACATTTAAACCAGAACAAGACCAACTATGGCTCGGCACTAAAGAAAGAACTGAGAAACTTGCAATGACGTCTATTAAAAGTGAGTTGTGTTTTGTGAATTAGTCGGTATTTAAGATAAGATGTTCCATATAATAAAGTTTTAGTGGGTATTTACAAATTGATTAAACTTTCAGGTATCACATCCGAACCTATTAAAGAACATGAGGAATATCACATTATGGTAAGCTTGTCTCCAGAAGAATAAAATTTAGCATCTTTTAATATTACTACTTTTAATATTTTTTACATGTTATTGCACATGAAGGTACTATATAATTTAAAAATCAAAATTAAACAAAGAGAGCAACAGCACAGAACGCTGACAATGCCGGTTTAAGCCCTACGATTCGATTATCGCCCGAGTCGATTTTTTTTCAGTTATTTTCGATTTTTAAATCAATACTGTTGTTTAAACGAGTAGTACAAATTTAAATGAAACACTTTAATGGTTTAAAACGCGATATATATTAGTTAAACTTATTTGTAAATTGTTTTAACTACGGCCCGACGTTTCAGATGCTTCGCAGCAGCCATGGTCATGGGGAGACTGAGGAGTTTGATTAATGTATATCGCGTTTTGAACCGTTAAAGTGTTATATTTAAACAATTGAACATATTCTATAAATCAACTGTAATAATTACCTTTTTAGGGTCTTCAATTAGGACCGACTGAAGCTTCTCGCTATTGGATTTATTGGGTCCCTGCTCAGTACATTGAAGCCATCAAAGATGCTGTACTTGGTGTTTGGCAATTCTTTTAAAATGACTTTACTGCAAATATTTACATGTACTACTTGGGTAGTTGCAATATATTAAAATTCAAAATTTACCCTAGCACTTTTATCTCTTTAGTTCTTGCAGTGTACAGTTACATAGAAGCCGATCTGTCTGTGCTAGGGTCTTCGCACTACTTAGGTACAGTGTCCATATTACTGTCACAAATCTCGTGTTTCAAAATACATACTTATTGCCGCGTCAATTATTTTTGGTATTTAAGAAAACTCGTTTTGATTTCAAATTGTACTGATTTTTATAAAAGCTGTAAATTGCTGAATAAGTAAATGTTATTTCAGAGCTTATCCCAATGTTTTGATCTTGATCTCTTTACAATATTGGTATTCAGAAAAGGATTGATTGGAATGTTTATATGACTGCAAAATTATCTAAATATAATTTTACTGTTAGCTTTGGAGAGTATTTTTTAATTAAAATTTTCAAGTTTCCTATCAATCCTTAACTGCGATTTTGGTAATAGAACTAGGTAAAATAAAATGTTTCGAATTATATATTTGTTTTAATAACTTACAAACAATTTAACCACTCAAAAAATATAAAACTATCATGGCACAAAGGTGTAAAATTGTAGAAGTAATAAAAAAAAATTAGATTTTTGGCATCAAGATATGTATAAATAATACTGATTATATACTTAAAAGCTAAATACACTATTCTCAATTAACCATATTCCGATTGCACTGTTATAGAAAATTCTCCTTTAAGAATCCTAGTTTCATGATACCATATCCTTGTGTCTAATAAAACTGAAAATACACAACTTTTAATTATTTTTAGAAATGTTAAGTCATAAAATAGAAGCAAATAAAAAGTTGACTTTTAGTTTGAATATATAGATTAAAGGTATAAAAGAAAAAGTCACCTATATCCTTAGGCTGAACATAGAAACTGAACTTGTTGCATTTATGATCACACTCTGGTACTGGTGCTATTGACCACATCTTTGTCCCTTGTAACTGACCTTGCCACATTAATCTTTCAATGTAGTCTAACTAAAACAATTACATTTAATCAATTAATGCTTATTTAGACTGTAATCATTTTAAAAGGTACTTGGGTTTCCAAAATATGAAACTGTTGTAATTTAGAAATTGTTTTTGACATTTTTGCCATTAAAGTGAATGACATGAACAAAAGATATATCCTAGACAGAGCAAAGATTACAACAAAGTTAATAATGTGATATAACATCTAGTTATGGTGGAATGTTAAGAACCATTTCATAATTATAGTGGCAGACCATCTTAAAAGCTCTGCTTAAAAATTTAAGTGTTTATTTAATAAAATATCTTTCAAGTTTTTATTTTAATATGCACTATTCACATAATTTTTATAATTACATGCATAACAGCCCCAATTTCATAACCCATAAATATGTTCTCTGTGGCTGGAAATTCTGCATCTTCAGGTAGAAATTCAGGAATTTCATAAAATTGTCTTAATTCTTTTAGAATGTCCTGATGACAGTTTCCCCTAAAATTAGAATTATATATTGAGACTCAATGTCGGTGATTCACAAGGAAGGGATTCAACTATTGTCATATTAAGGTATAATATTACATTACCATCCCACATACCAGGGCTTTTGCCCTGGGCCACCTTTCACTCTTTCTGTAGTCATAGAAAAAACGTCCTTCAAAGAAAAGAGGTCACTTTTAAAGTTCAAAAATTGGCACCCCTCTTCCAAACTTTCATAACTACCAGCTGTTTCATCATATAACTTTTTAAACAAATTATAATTAAACTCCTTTACAGCTCTCCAGTGTCCAATTGAATTCTTAACAATTATAGGTTTAGAAGAATAGGCGTATTTCTGAAATCGTTTAAGGTTAAGTGTGTATTATGCAAACAATTTTTTTAATAAATTTTAGAAAAATGTGGAAGCTTACTTTAAATATTTCTCTGGTAACATTATGTAATATAAGGGGTTCTGTAACATGAGCACAGTAGCTACAGTCAGCTATCGGACGTGTAGCTTCCCACACTAAATAATTACTTGGTAGGAGGCACCTAGCACCCAATAAATCATTTACTGCATTTACACAAACAGCGACCGTACAAAACAAAATACCACCCAAAAGTAACAGACGCCACCTCCCAGAATTACGAGATTGGACATAGGCGTCTTTAACTGTAATAGCTTTACATTTTAAACCAAAACATCCTTGAGTTGGTAAATGAGTTGAAGTTTTATGATTTTGTGAGGAACTTTTTCGAACATACTTCTTGTTTCTAATCATTATTGGGCAATAAGGCTAACAATAATATCAATTATTATACCACAAAGGACTTCGTAATTACATATTTATTTAATTGTAACTGTACAGAAAAATTCCCCATTTTCACAACACAATAATATGACAACAAATATCGGATCTGAATGTTGACAGTTGACATAAGTTCTAAGAGATATATTCATCTCAAATTCTCCACCGTGGTCAAAAATTCGTCGAGAAATCTATCTATACGGGTTTATTCGAAAAAGAATGTTTTTAAAAAGCATTTTACTTTAATTTTGATAGCTTTTGTTTTTGATATATTAATAAATATTACTGTTTGTAGGTATATTATCTGTATCACTAATGCTGCTTGCTGTCAAACAAAGTCAACGAACTGTTGAGTGTTAAACTTGGCGGTTCCAAATCGTGATAAAAGTAACAGAGGAGCAAAATGCCCCCAAAAAAGCGCGATAAAGATAATGAAACCAGCAAAAATACTAAAATAGATCATCTTCAAGCTGACCATGAGTTATTTTTACAAGCTTTTGAGAGTAAGTTCGCGTTCTGGTTATATCTCTTAGCTACTGTTTGCACACAACAGAAATTAATAGATATTTTTTATTTCAGAACCTACTCAAATATACCGATTCTTACGTACTCGCAACATGTTGTCGGTATGTAGCCTTAATATGTAGTATTTTTACCTGTGCTATGTAACTGTTTAACCTTCGATTTATGCCTGCTTGCAGCCGATATTTCTCAACAGAACACTATCATATATGAAAAGGCGAATGTCTCGAAGTAATAAAGGACGGATTGGATTCACTGTCGATTCATTATTAGAAAAAATTACCCAGAAAAAAAGTACAGAACTACAACCCAACAACTTAGGAGGTTACATGACATTAACATTCTTAGGGTTCTATGATAAGAGTCTGGAAGATTCGCGAGATTACCAAGTAAAAGTAGAAACATTATTGCTGAAAATATGTCATAAGAAAAGAAAGGAAAGCTCGTCTGCTATTGTTGAAGTTTCAGTAAGTTATATTTTATTTTAAATGGTTTTCACTGTCAAAAAGATTAATACAACTTTGCTGAAAATTTTAATAATCTTTTTGACTTATATATAAAATTTTAATTCTTTTTAAAGGTTGGAAGCTGTTCAGTACCGTTAAACCCATCATCATCAGAGCCTCCAGCTATGGCATCAGCTGTGAGCATAGCTAGTGATACTTTTAGTCCTTCACAGGGTCCTAATGTTAAATCATACATGCTGATGTTACGTGTGACTGTAACTAAAACCACACCTTGCTCAAACACAAATGGAACGCCTACCTCTACTGAAATAACAAATGGAGATAGTGACGGTAGGTATAAGTATTTATATAACCTAATTATACTGTGTTTATTTCTTTTATTTTAAGCTATTTTTAGTGTGAGTTATGTGTGAAATCCTAATTTATCACAATTTATTCTTTTAAATAAAACACTTTAACGGTTTAAAACGCGATATATTAGTGAAACTTATTTGAAAATTATTTTTAACTTCGGCCCGACATTTCAGTCTCACCACGGCTTCAGACCACGGCTGCTGCAAAGCATCCGAAACGTCGGGCCGAAGTTAAAAATCATTTTCAAATAAGTTTCACTAATATATCGCGTTTTAAGCCGTTAACGTATTTTATTTAAATGTGTACTACTTGCGTAAACTATAGACAATTTATTCCGTTTAAAGCCTACCCAGCCAGGTATGTGTGCATATAGTAAGAATTATATTTCCAGAACCTTTATCAAAACGCATAAAGCCGTCAGACTTACACAGTCCTGCTGATAATAAATGGAGTAAACTGTATGGCAGTGAATTAATTGTCTATGACAAGCATAACAGGTGTTTGCTGACAAACGGTGAATATGATCTAGTTCTACATGACGCTACCCCGGGTGGAAGAAGTGCTACTATAGCCAGATCTCCTCACAAAGCTTTAATGGCACAGTGGGAAACTATTCCCAATGTAAGTGGTTTCTTTATTATACTACTACGACAGACTGTTAAAAATTATGTTGGTGTGTATGTTCTACTTTAAAGTAAAATTTTAAAGCTGTCAAATGAAACGTAATAATGACTAAACTTTATTATTTACTAACTGTGCCTGCGACTTTGTTCGTGTGGAATAGTGACTTGGGGTATAACTTTTAATTATTAAGGCTGTTTATTAATTTATGTAATTGTGCATTTATCGCAGCCAATCTATGTTGTAAGTGTTAATTTGCCGCAACACTCTCACCTCCCATCACTCCTACTCTAATTCCCACTCTCACATGTGAGAATGGGAGTGGGAGTTTGGGAATAGGAGAGATCCTATTCCCAAAAAGCCTAAGAAGAAAGTTTCATTGTTCTAGCTTCAAAAACCACGAGCTTTCATACAAACTTTTACCCACCCTTTTAACTCCTTACAACCCCCTTTTCGCAATAAAAAATATATTGTCTATGTCCTTTCTCTGGGACCATCTGTGTACCAAATTTCATTCAAATCCGTTTAGTAGTTTTGGCGTGAAAGAGTAACAAACAGTTACTTTCACGTTTATAATATTAGTAAGGATTATAAACTATTTAATCATTATCTTTGTACAATGTTAGGCTATATCTCTATGTCCCACGATTTTCCCTTACCTCAAGAATCACATGAACAAGAATCTTATTTCTGTTCCACTTTAGATTCTTATAGTTCCCATAATGTTCTTTGAGCTTAAACTTAATTCTTAACTTGTGATATTAAGTGAGGTACATCCGGTATATGGGTGAAATGGTCAGCAGCTAAAGTAGACTGATCAACTAGCTTTTTCTCAGTGTTCCCAACAGAAAATAATAAATCAACTTTCAAAATAAATGTCTTGCTTTTAGGAAAATGGCTTGAATTCAGAAACAAATCCATTTGATGTGTTCAAAGTGCGACCCCTTTTGAAACTCAAGCTTAGCTGGAGCCAGGAGCCAACAAACGGACTTGTTAACAGACCTAAACTCTACCAAGCTAATGAAACTAATGGGATCAAAAAAGAGCTTAATATTAACAAAGATAGATTATTGTCGCAGAAGTTTTGCACGAGTGAACATAAAAGTAGTAAGTTTGTTTTTACATATGGTAACCAGTGTTTTCCTTTATGAAGACGAAAATTTTCTGCTGCCCTGAGATTACGAGGACTAGTTTGTAGTATTATTTTATTCTTCACAAAGCACTAAGAATACTTGGATAATAATCGATAAAATCTTTTTGTTATAGTAATAATAAAAACTAAGTTCAGAGAAAGTGTTTAAACAAGCTTGTTGGTCTAATGGTAGCAGAGTATGGCTAATAACAACGGGTCGTGGGTTCGAACCCCACTGGGTCCAACATGCTTTTAATTTTTCAATATATAATTTTGCTAAAACATGTTGGACTTCGTCTGGAAATCTGGATATAAAATGGGTGGTTGGAATATCGAAATACCGCCCGAGTGTCGAACCACCGTCCACAGATGAAAAAGACGTGAAGCTTAATCGCGTTTCGGTTTCAGTCTGTGGATTACCGAATATCCAAAGCCAAAATAGGTCAACAGCGTATTTTGTGTAGATGTTATATAGCGCAGGTATTTTACCTCTCGTTAAGTGAATCCCGATTCTTGGCTGTTCTCCTATATCATTAAAAAAAAAACAATGTTTAGTCTAGTCACAGATCTTCGTTTTTTTTTTCAGGTGAGAAAATCAAAGAAAATGGTGAAACAAAGAAACAACAGATAATATACCAATTCTTATACAATAATAATTCTCGACAACAGACTGAAGCGTGCGATGACTTGCACTGTCCATGGTGTTCATTGGATTGTGGCACTCTGTATTCGCTGCTCAAGCACTTGAAACTTTGCCATTCAAGATTTAATTTTACTTACTTTGTAAGTAAGACTCCTTTCTTAAATTTATAACAGAAAGTTTCCTTTGATACAGAAATGCTAATATTAGAATTGTGTTAGTTTGTCTGTTCTTATTCTACTTGGTTAAACCGACAGAGAAAACCCTAGATTTTATAAAATAGATTAGTCTTATAAACAACAAGCAATCGTAAATTATAAATACAAGCAATTACAAATACCTCACCTTTAACGGCTTTAACACACTTAACGGTTTCAAACGCGAAATATCGTTTCAAACGGTTAAAAGTGACATTTTATAAATGTATGTATACTGGCTTTATTTCATTTGTCGAAATCGGTCAGATCACTCCACATCGTCTGTTGACCAACTCTCCTGGTTTCCCTTATATATTATACATATATTCCCATAACAATGATTCTTTTAAAATTTCAGCCTATACCGAGCGGTGCTCGAATCGATGTGTCAATTAATGAGCTATATGACGGTTCCTACACTGGATCCCCCCATGATCTCATAGCGTCTCAAGGACGTTCATCTTCTAGTGGACCCCGGGCGGGTCCCACTCGTCGAGCTTCTTTAACGCATCTGCTTATTTGGAGACCCCGAGCGAGAAGACGCGCGCAGAGGCATAGTCTGGCGGAATTTTTAGAAATAGACGACAATGATGTTTTAGATGCACAGAGGCCATACATCACTGGGCACAATAGGTATGGTTCATGGATTTTATTCGTTCATTATTATTACTATACTAGGAATAAATTCTGTAAGTTGTTCTTTTGGCATCTACTCGTGAATGTGGGACACCGCAAGGTTTGGCAAACTTTTTGCTAACCATAGAAGATTTATGATTACTTACCTTTTTTTTGTAACTAAATATGTATTATGTAAACGTTATTTTTCTGGAAGCGCTTTTAAATGTACCTTTAAAATCATATAATTTTCTCACATTTATTATTCATAATTCAATAGATATTCTACACTGTTTTAATAGGCTACCTAACAATGTTTAAAGTCAGACTTGACGTTCCTGAGTTTGTGTTTGACCAACTAATTCGTTTTAATCCATAATACATATGGATTTATCAACTGATATTTTTTTGCAGATTATATCATCATACAATAACTTGCCTTCCTGTATATCCCAATGAATTGGACATTGACTCGGAAAGCGAGACAGATCCTCTATGGTTGCAACAGAAGACTATGATGATGATAGACGAGTTCACAGACGTCAATGAGGGCGAAAAGGAACTAATGAAAATGTGGAACCTCCATGTGATGAAGTACAACTATGTGGGCGACTGCCAGATACCTCTCGCTTGCCAAATGTTCCTACAAATGAAAGGGAAGGAGCTCCTGGAGAAGAATCTCTACAGAAACTTTATACTCCACATGTGTTCATTGCACGACTTCGGTCTGATTACGTCGGTAGCGTTGTACCAGACTGTGCAAATGCTGAATCAAATGCTCGCTGATAATGCGGAAGCCAAAGAGAAAATGAGAGAGTCGCTGAAGGCTCAAAGAGAACACTGGAATACAATTGGAAAATTCCAACAACCCGTCGTCATAGAACCAAAACCCCAGACGAACACTGCCAAATTAAATGTAGAGGCGTCGCCCTCGGTTCGACGGAAGACTTCGAATTTACAAAACGCCAATAGAATGGCGAGCGCTAGTACAAATTTTAAATCAGCTACGCCCGGGCCCAGCGGGGACACTAAACGGAAAATGTCCTCAGGAAGCATTCAGAGTCGAAAGAGGTCTTCGATTTCGGAGAGGAAAAGCTCAGTTTAAGTTTTGGACTCGTTAAGACTGGTCTCCAATTTTGAGGCTCGTATGACGATTTGAATGATTTCAGTGATTTTATTTGTGATTAGTCTGTAAATTGTCACAGCTCAGTTTGTTTTTATGTTAGTTAATGCGCAAATTATTCCATTTGCAACACACAAACGTAAAGTAATTCTCTGGTCAAGGCAAGAACTTGAATAATTGCCATTTTTTATTAGGAAAATCCATTTAAAAAGACCATACTTTTTACAAGTGTTTTATTTAAATGTGTACTACTCGCGTAAACTATAGACAGTATTTAAGATTTGATTATGTTAGTAAGCGCTCCATGAAATGGACGGTATTAGTTAAGTTTGCTAAATACGTACTTTATCAGATTTGGAATTTCACTGCCTCGGTCAGTCAATAGCTAAACGTAAAATAAACCGTTTCGGTCAGGCAGGACACAAGATCGACTAGACTGTAATTATAAATCGATGTTTGGTCGTGCCACATTGTGGGATCGGGATTCCACTTTATGTAGAATGGGTTATTTGACAATGCGAAAAATATTGCGTCAATTACTGTTATCAGTATAAGTTTAGTAATAGCGAAACAGTCGCATATGTTAAAAAAACTGAAAAACACTTAATGTTAATTTATCACGTGACACAGTTCGCTTCTGATTGGTCGGGTTTAGGATGACGTCACTTGCCTATAAACACTGCTACAAGCCACGTGCTTCCTAGTGTTAAACTATTCGATTTTCTGCATGAATAAATAAATAAATTTGTAACTCATTTTCTTATTCCGATCACTGTTAAAATGTAAATGTTTGGTAAAAATGCACGTAAGTAGATTGTGGATCATAATATGATCGTCAAATACCAAATAAAATAAAGTGAATTCTAAAAATTAGTCAAATAGCCCATAACAACGCCGAAAAGGCTATCGTAACATTAAAATTATGAGTTCGACATATCGTTATTTTTCTAGGATCAAAGCAGGTTCGGTTTCACTCTAAAAATTGTCTCATGCTATAACAATTATGTTAGTTATTTTTGTGTTGGAATGTATATAACAGTAGACACGAATCTTGGAGTTTCAATGTCATTTGTGCAGTTAACTAGTTTAGGGCCATCTTTATGTAGATCGAATTGAAGAAGTCGCGACTGTTAGCAATTACATTGTGATTGCAAGAGACTGATAGTAATAAATATCTTTTCTAGTTGGTATTTGAATGTGAGAAGCGAAACTGAACAAATTGATACCGCATTAACTCCGAACATAATATTCGTGTCTTCTGCCATTTGTACTAATTTAAAAAAAGCTGATTTTATCAGTATCAGAATGAAAAAAATCATGAAAAAGGCATACCTAGAAACCTAGTCTTTCGTTTGATATTACAAATCAAGATCTAAAAAATTGAAGTCGAATTTGAAACGAAAATGTACTAACATTAGGCTTGCTATACACTGTCGTCTTAAACTTAAGCATATTTATAAGTGGATGTTGTCATTTTGTAGAAAAAAAAAACAGAACACGCTGCTTTAGTATTATGTTTAGTTGAATTTTATTTATCGGTTTGAATGGTAGAATCGTTTGCTTCTGTAACAGTCCGCTAGATGTCGCTGTTTTTTTAAACGTACTTCACTGTAAAAGTGAGTCAAATGAATTTGCGAACAAATTTTTATAAGATTTTTTGTTCGACGTACGAAAAAACCACATGGTTCAACATTGTAATTATTAAGGTGCGAATTTGAACTTAACCTCACTGTAAAATAAAAGCATGGATGGTATTAAAAATTGTAAAACAAATGATAAAATTTGATATTGTTTAGGCAAATTAACAAAACGTTAGAACAAAATTATGTAACGCGTTATACTGCATCCATTGAATCAGACATATTTTCAGAATGTAGAAAGGGTAGCCAAAGAAATTCTTCAAAACTCAACAAAAAAAAAAGATTAATGGGAATATTCCTTCAGAAATATTTTAAATATTTGCAATAAAAACAGAAATATGTATTTTAACTAGAATATAAAACGCAAGTTAAGCTATTGTACGTCTACCTTCGGTAATATAAAGCAGTAGCCATCGCAAGTATACAATTTTCGACTCATTGTCTAGGAAGTCTGAATAAACAAGACTGTCTGACTGCCTAACAATCTCAACAAGGTTTCCGACAATTTTACATAAAAAATAATAAATATAGTGTTCTGAACGAACAACATGTCATTTACAGATAAGGTAAAGTTTTATCCCTATTGTAACGTCTCGTACTTAGTTGATGGAATATTAAACAATTATTTTTCCAAGATCTTGTTTCAATTATTGCATTTTTAATAAATGCTGAAGTACATACCAACATATTTCAAGATGTCGATGGCGAGGCCAAGTAAGGACGTATTTGTCAAACAATATGTGATTTTTAAATACTTAGTTTTTTTAGTATTTTATGGCGATTTAATTTAGGAAAAAATATATAGATCTTCCTATGGTCCGAATAACTAAGGAGGTTGTGAGCAGACCATTACTAAGGTATAATATATTATGTATAACGGTGAAATCAAACAAGGGCTTTCGTTTTAAGTTATGTTAGAGTTTTACTTGTTCTTAATTCTACCCCCTAGTGTACTTTCTCTTTACATCTAGCTCACCTTAAAATCACGCGAAAATCAAAAATAGAACTGTCAAACGCCAATAAAAGGAAAAATGAAGGCCATTTGACAAAGTTAACAAACTGAAATTTGCCGTTTAAATAAGTATGTCATATTTGAAGAATGTTAATAAATTAACCGATAAGTCTAGACAAGACGTTCCTGCAGAAGAAAGCATCGCCTGTGAAGGTAAGTCACCATTAATAAAACAAATATTTTGCACATCAACGGGAAATATTAAGGTCTTTATGTTCTAGACGACGCTGTAACATGTAACGCGACGGACAGCCGATATGCTGGTATGTACTACTTTTACTACTTAGTTTCCGTATAAAGCAATCACTGAGTCCAAACCGTTTTAGTTACCCTGACGAAGAAGACTTCGAACGCAGGCGAGGATGAAACACTCCCCGCGGGTCAAAAATCATTCATAAGCATTCATTCAACCGATCACCTTTGTCAAGTGGCTGACATAGACAACCCGGCGAACGTCGAAGATTGTAACGTGGAAGTGTTGAGCCTGAACGAGGTGTTCCCCTCAACATCTGAAGAGAGTTTGTCAAACGATGACGAAGCTTCGATGGGTCGAAAGAAAAATAAGGGCGCAATACAGAAATCGTATTCAGAGAGTGGGAAATCGACATATGTGCCGACGAACAGTAAATCCTCGACTGTGTCTGGACGAGACAAGGACTCATTGGAGGCGCAATCATCTGTCTACTCGGACTTCAATATTCCGAAAAGCACGATGTACGTCATGGGCAGTAATCCGGGAGAACCGAAAATGTCCTATCAGGATCCCCCCAAGAAAGTATCAAAGACGGTTTGTACCCCCTTAAAATATACAGTGATAATAATTATTCACTAATGCAGCGAAGAGATGGGGTAATCAGGTTGGGTGAATAGTTACATTGTAAAGATTGACCTTTTGGTAACAATAATGTCTTTATAAGAGCCATATAGAAGCCACAACCACACTTATATTTTTTAGATGAAAAAGTTCCTTCGCAATATTGACAAACACAAGAATGACCAAGTGGCAAAGAGCGGCGAAAAGGCAATCAGCAAACTGACAACGATGCGAGGCATCCTGAAAGATGGAAGATGTGGTCCCGAATGTACGGGAGACTCTACTGCTCAGGATACAGAAGAGATCACTAATACTAGTGAGTTTTTCCTTTACAATCAAGTTACCGACTATAGAATGGGCAGCTGTTCAATTTTAACCCTGTAGTAAAGAGATAAGATAGTAGGTATAGATGTAACTTTAAACTATTATCTTCTAACATAACTTTTCTTTTGTACATATATAAATAATATAAAGATCTAAGGTACACGAGTGGGATAAGAATCTCTAACTACGTCTATTCTTACTGAAAAATATAACTACATATGTATATCGTTGTACATGTCATATATATTTTTCGTTGCGTAGAAATATTTAAGTTTGCGATGAGAATATCTATTAAACATAAATATTTCTCCAGTCTCCCCGTGACCACGGCTGCTGCAAAGCATCCGAAACGTCGGGCCGAAGTTAAAAATCATTTTCAAATAAGTTTAACTAATATATCGCGTTTTAAACCGTTAAAGTGTTTTATTTAAATAAATATTTCTGTTTGGTTAAATAAACATAATAATAAATAAATAAACATTCCACCATTACAGTACAATTTCCATTGCGATAAACCTATTATATACATATTTCATAGAGTGATGTTTTCGTCAATTTCACCCAAGCTGCACGTAAAAATGTCGATCCCATGATGTGATGTGGGTAGTTGTGAAGCGTCCGTTTTACTGATGCATGTTTTTTACAGTTACTATTATTTTTAAAGAATTTTAGAATGTTTGAATACTTAACCTGCCGGACTTATAATTATTGGTTATTAAATTTATTAACTTGAAATTTTCTAGTTCTTATTTAATCAACAGCAGACGAAATGTTGGCCTACCAAATGGAATGCGCGCCCCATTTAAATTATACTAAACACGGCCCCGACAAAAACGTATCGTTCAATACACAAGTGGTTATCATACACTTCACTGGTGACCTGTGCATTGGACAGAGTATCGAAGCCCTGAGCAAGGAGAAGGACCAGCAAGCCCGCAACTCGGAACTAAGAAAAACATATCTAACAAAATACAACGAACTGTGGCCCACGCAGAAGTAGCTTCTAAACAGCATATATGTACATTTAATTTCGTATGAATGTCGTGTTTTTGTCTATTTATTTATACTGCAAACTGAAGTGTATATTACGTCATCCAAATTGAAATAAAGTATTGAATACAGAATTCTGTTTTCTTATTATAGGAAGTATACAATAAATATAATAAAACGATAATAAGAAGAAAAACTGCAAATTACACAATTAAATCTTATTCCTAAGCCGTCAAATTAAGAAGAAATCCTATCCGCCGTATCTATATTAATATATAAGCTGAAGAGTTAGTTTGTTTGAACGCTCTAATCTCGGGAACTACTGGTTCAAATTGAAAATATTTAAAAAAATATATATTTTTGTGTTGGTTAGAACATTTATTGAGGAAGGCTATAGGCTATAAAACATATCGCTGTGACTAATAGGAGCGAAGATACAGCGGAAGCGGAACGAAAATTATACATCCTTGTAGGTTTCAATTGCGAACGCTGATTGAATGATTGATAGATACTGATACTGAGATGAAATGATTTTAAACTTCGGCCCGACGTTTCGGATGCTTTGCAGCAGCCGTGGTCACGGGGAGTCACGGGGTCACGGCTGCTGCAAAGCATCCGAAACGTCGGGCCGAAGTTAAAAAATCATTTCCAAATAAGTTTAACTAATATATCGCGTTTTAAACCGTTAAAGTGTTTTATTTAAATGTGTACTACTCGCGTAAACTATAGACAGTATATGTCTATCTTATAAGATTAATTTGCAACAACGACGGGACGCGGACGACGTCGTGAGTAACCGCTTAAATTTATAGAGTTGACCTGTTCAACTCTATAAATTTAAGAGATTTGCAAAAACATAAAATTGATACCTAAAATAACTATTCTACGCATACGAAGTCGCTGACTCAGCTAGTGTTATTATTATTGCATTGGCTAATGCATGTTTTATACTACAGTTCGATCTATTGGGTTTATTTAAATAAAACAGTTTTACACAAGTTTAACTAAAATATATCGCGTTTTAAACCGTTAAAGTGTTTTATTTAAATGTGTAGGCGCACTACCTACTACTCGCGTAAACTACAGACAGTCTTCTATTGGAATTAATTTGTAATACATGTTCCCTTTTTAAGACCGAAAATGCTTTCACGCACTCAGTGTGTGAAAGACTATCCACTCTGACCTTTCTGTTCGCGAGATTCAATCTACCAGAGCGGTAGGCTATACCAACTGAAATAATCTCAATCCGCTATTCCGGAGACACCTGATAGTATTTTTTTCTTGTAGGTATTATTTTATTTAATATTTGAAAACTTTGCATTTAAAAATGCGGCAGCGGCACAAAGCTGCGGAAGTTGCTGGTTGAAAGACTTCATCTAGCATCTTGTTCAGCGCAGCGTCTCGTTGCCCGATTAATCGATTTTTTAAACATAAATAAATTTAATAAAATATATACCTTAAAAACTGGCCAACAATAATTATTATGTAGCAGGAAATTTTGGCATCATGTAATTAAAAGATAATAAACTATACTATTGTCTTTATTGATAATCACTGCTTTAAAATACTAATTTATACGTAAAAGTAACGCTAGGAGACCACAGCCTAATGACGTTTGGAAGTAATTTTCCAAAGTACCAATTCCTTAACGCGATCGTACGTGAAGTATTTCGGAAAATTGAGGGGTAGCTGTTCCACTATCCATTCTGACTTCACTTTGTCCAATAATGACAGGAATGTTTCGTAGCACGGCGCCACAGAGTCCATATGCTCAATGGTGAATACATATCGCTTCTCTAAAACTATATACATTGTCTTCGGAGGGTTTGTATTGAGAATTTTTTGTATTGTTGATACGAATGCCGCTGTAACATCATCGTCGTAGATCACTGAAATATATCATCATATTATAGTAGGGCTAGTCCTACTCTATGGACAGACAAGCATAAGTCTCACTTGGTAAGAGGAGATATCATGAGGGGTCTAAATATTTTGGCCTTGGAACTTCAGACATATACAGACATTTTCCATCCTAAGACGGTAGACCGAATCGATATTTTCTACCACTCTGGGTTACCAAATGGTTCAACATGATCGGAAGATGATTTAGTTGAATTAGTTGGGAGTTGAACCCAAACACACCTTGGTTAACCAGTCACCCAAAATGTCGTACGCTTTGGGACGCTATGATTAGACTATTTATATAAATATATACAGTATGTATTTATAGACTTGAGATAAGTTTCAAAACAGATAAAATACAAAATTACTGACATTATTTAGTCTGGGCCCGTTTCCTAACTTACTGCAGACCAATTGTTAAAAATTTGTCGTCTTGTTAAGTCCAGAAATATAAAAAATTGTCTAAGATGGGTCCAGGTAGTCAACTTTTTTATCTTACCATCAGCAGCTATTATAATATCTGTGAGTTGTATTCCTTTTAATAAGCTGTGTCCCCATCCTATGTTCTTAAAGTCAAGTGGAAGGACTTCAAACTGGGCTTTCATTAACTTCGAATTAGCAAGTGCATTTATTTTGATTAACTCGAGAATGCCACCACCATTGATGTCTGAAAATTTAAGCATACTTTTGGTACAAAAATATTTTTTTTATTTAATTTACTACTACTATAGTGTAAAATTTTGATTACTAACTAAATTTCGTAGATAAATAAAATGCACATGCAATCAACATACTAATTGCTTTAAGGGATAGTTACATTTAGTTTTAACCTTATCTAATATTGGAACACATATAAATAGAAAAATAAATTGAACTCACCAGTACAAATAACTTTCTTAGCGTATATTGCTGCTACAAAACTGGTCAGTCCTGTACCAGCTCCTAGTTCTAAGACAGTTTTACCATCTAGTTTTCCATTTACACCTAAATATATCAAAAGATCTCCTAGTAGGAGTGCACCTCTCCATACTTGAAGACCAACTAGAGCTATGTTTGTTTTTATACTGTGTTCTGTTCGAAGGAAATTAAATAGTGAATAGCAAGAAAGCTTAATAATTTATAAAAAAAGATATATGGAATATAAGAGGAAGAATATTAAATATGTATACTATTTGTAGTGCATACTCAAACACTAAGTAAAAAAAATCATCTTACCTATTCTTATAACTTCATGACTTGGTCTCTCAATATCCAGATCATCATCCTCATCAAAATTTTTAAGTTTTCCTTTCGGTAAAAGAAATGGAAACTGTGAAATTATATCTGCAAAGATTTGTGAAAATTTTATGAACACAGTGAAAAACTTTTTTTCTTGTAAAAACATTAAGTACTCTGACCTACTTCCTTTTCTTATTGGTGAGTTTTCTGTTTGATAATTATATTCTTCATAGATTTCTGATACTACAGTCAGCTCGGACATATTTCTGAGAAAAATATAATATAAATGAGTTTTATTGCCTTACCCCGTATTAATTACGTATAAGTTTTAATTAGTATGATGCAGATGTTTCAGTTGGTTTTAGGAAGTAGTCTAAAAATTGGAAACCATCCAATTTTAAAATTCTAAAATAAATCTAGTCGGAGATTGAAGGCCAGTTAATGTGGTTTAATTACAAGTTAATGACGATCTACACTACCTCTATCTTCAATGAAATTTTATAGAGAAATCAACAAAACTGAAGGATTTAAAAATAAGTTTTCATTGACCAAACCTCTTTTAAACTCCATATCTGAATGGTTTAAATACGTTAAAAACCTTATTAAAAAACAAAAAACAAACTTACAGTTTTCTTTTATGTTTAGTTTTGGAAGTGCTTCATAATAAAATATATACTATTCCTTTACTTTTAAAAGTTGTTTACGTTGTGAAAACAATTTTTTTAATAGGATTGTAAATATGATTTGGCTATATTCATAGTTCATATTGTCATCGCTTTAGGAATCTTTTCTCTATAGAAGAAATTATGTTATTGAATATATTATATAAAAGTACGAAACTTTAAATTTAAAAACATTTTGTAATTTGTTTACAAATCTAACTGACATTGACAGTTCTGAATGTCCGTTTTTTTTTCTATTACTAGGCTTCTTGTTTATTCTATATAATAACTCACTTGAGTATTTTTAATTTCAATTTCTTTGGAGCTAATAAAAACAAATGTTTAAAGAAACTCATTAGATATTAAATCCATTATTATGATGTACGAAATATTTTTGTTGTTTACCGAAAGGAAAATAAAATATATGTGTGACAAATCGACTTTCTTCTAAATTTTGTACGGTTGTAAGAAAAATAAAACAACAACCAATCACAGCCAAACACACGATCGACGCTGCCACGTCGAGTGAGACAGTCGGCACGGGTGTGAATGAAGTGGCATTTTCGGCATTTTGTTGAGTTTCGTCTTCCAAGCAAAAGATAGAGATTATTGTCTTAAGTTAAATATAATAATTTAAAATGAAAGTTTTACTATCGATATTAGCGATAGCCCTACTGGGTTCCGCGATTGGAGACGAAATTCCGACAGAAGACAACGTACTTGTGCTGACCAAACCGCTATTCGATGATGTTATTGCTAATACTGAGTTTGTTTTAGTGGAATTCTGTAAGTTTTCTTCTCTAACATAATATTTAACGTTTTTTAAATACTAACAGCATCTATTCAAAGTAAATTATATCTTATTTTCAATTTGGAGCCGGTCGGCCTTATAAGTTTTATGTCTACGTCATAGATGCACCATGGTGCGGTCACTGCAAATCCCTCGCGCCGGAATACGCTAAAGCTGCCACTGAATTGGCTGACGCAAATTCACCTATCAAGCTCGCTAAGGTGGATGCGACACAAGAGCAAGATCTAGCCGAACAATACAAAGTACGAGGATACCCAACTCTCATTTTCTTCAGAAACGGCAGCCCTATTGAATACTCAGGTAATTATCGTCAATGTAGCAACAAATCATTATTTTAATGGCATCAATTAACCACTCATGATTTTATTACGACGTTTTATAAACATCATTTTACACGGAATCAAATGTTTAAAAACATGCGTATTTAGTAGTATAACCATTTAATGACCTTTTTAACATTGCATCATTATGAACAGGTGGTCGCCAAGCTGAAGACATCATCTCTTGGATTAAGAAGAAGACTGGACCTCCAGCCATTAGTGTGTCTTCATCGGAGCAAGCCAAGGAGGTCATTGCTGCAAATAATGTCATAATCTTTGGTTTCTTCCCTGACCAAACTACACAGAAGGCGGTAGCTTTCCTTAACACAGCTGGTTTAGTTGATGACCAAGTATTTGCCATTGTATCTGATGAGAAAGTTTTCGAAGAATTGGAAGCCAAGGCTGAAGATGTCATATTGTACAAGAACGTAAGTGACTCAGTGTTATAAAGAATATATATATAATTTTTTATAAACATGTTTTTAAAACAATTGGTTGTTGAATTAAGTTAATCGTCCCATTAATAATGATTGTGTGATTTCTTCCATTAGTTTGAAGACCCCAGCGTCAAGTTTGATGGAGAAGAATTCAACGAAGACATCTTCAAGAACTGGGTGTTTGTACAGAGTATGCCCACAGTTGTCGAATTCTCCCATGAGACAGCCCCTAAGATCTTCGGTGGACAAATTAAATACCATCTCTTGGTCTTCCTGTCAAAGGTAAATTTTTATCTTGTAAGACATCTTTTAGATGAGGTATTTTTTCAGAAAAATATAATAAATTATTTGGGTTAGGTTATGTTGGCGCTAACGTAACAGAATTACATATTGTTTTCTTATTAATTGTGAAGTATAATTCTATATGAGTCATGGCAGCATGTACTCGTATTGTAAAGAAAGTAACCAAACAACTTCAATACTTTTTGTACTAAGCAAAAAATAACCTACATAATTATACTGATATGGTACTTTCGAATATTAATTACAGTTAAACTAAATACTACTTAAGTGAAACTTAATTAAATATTTTTATTTAATTAATTTACAATTAATAGTTGTTTGTGGTAACTTCAGTAGACTGCCTCTGTAGCCAAATGGATAACCGTGCGGCCTAGCATTGTATTAAGCGCGAGAGGTCCTGGGTTCGTAACCCAGGGACGCAAAAGTGATCAGTGAAACAGCCACAGAAATGTGTTCACCTCATGACTCACGGGGGAAATGAATTTCACTTTTAACCTCGATAGTACAGATGTACTTTATTTAGAATGAACTTATGTGCAGAGGTAACAGTACTTCTTACTCCATCAAATTTAATATTCGAATGGTACTTAATGGGTCATCGAACTGTATAGACTATAGATCAATGACCTTGACTTAACGTTTGTCGTTTCTTTCTATGTACTCATGTGCTTTATAAAAAAACAATAAACTATAGATGCAAATAATATAGTACAAGCGGGGCTAATCTATGCCTCATAGAATTAAATCATGTTAAACTTTTTATACCTGTTTTCCCTAATTTAGTGGTCCTTAAAATCCACCAACCTGCACTGGAAAAGTGTTTGGCCCAGTTGTGGGGCAAAAATTAAATAGTTAATAGAGCCTGAAATGGTACCTATATACTTGTTTCTATTATTCCTCCACCTAAGTTAAAATTGTTTAGTAACTGTTTAAACTTGTTTGTAGAAAATTGGTCACTTCGAAAAGCACTTGGAACCACTGAAACCTGTAGCCAAAACCTACCGTGAAAAGATCATGACTGTCGCCATTGACACTGATGAAGACGACCACCAAAGGTAAGATATATTATTATTTTATTATATTACTAATAGCTGTGTTAGCGTCTTCGTCTGCGTAAAATTGTTATTGACGGTCGCGTATTAATCTTATTAATTAACTTAAAACCTGAAGAGTCAGGTGTCTATACTAACATTAATAAAGATTGTAGCTTTTCTATTTGTCTTGACTGCTCTATGGCTCAAACCCCCATGCTTTTGGTTAGGTTACAGATTATTCATGTTTGCTGTTCTATAAAAATAGAAGGTTCGAGCTTAACAGTATGATTATTTTTCAGAATCTTAGAGTTCTTCGGAATGAAGAAGGAAGAGGTACCGGCTGCTCGCTTGATCGCCTTGGAACAGGACATGGCGAAATACAAACCTGCGTCCAACGAGCTCACTCCTGACGCTATTGAGGTAAGAGTCGAAAACTTATTAAACTTTGACTCGCAGGCCACTTGCTTGTAAAGAGTCTGTAGTTTGCGCGACTGGTACGCTTGAAGATATTAATTTATTTTTTGTTAAAAAACACATTGCCTTCGGGCATGACCATATATTTTCTACGGCGTTAATAATTAAATGATAATAACTAATATGATAATCTAATTTCAATTAATTGGTGTATAAATCAATAATGTAATTGTATATACCTGCATAAACGTCTCCATCGTACCATTTGCCACAGTCACTGTGACAAATTCTCGAATTGTTAATTTAGAAAGGAAACGCTATTGCTAATAATTTTCACGCTGCAGTTAAGAATATAAGTATTGTACGCAGAATAATCCCTTGCTAATGAAAATAATTCGAGAAGCGTAAAAAGTTAAAATACTCTGGCACTAATTTCTTATCGCTACGGACGTTGATAAACTGGTGTACTGAAATGTACTCTCGATATTGTAGTGTTATGCAACCAAATAATTCATGTTATCTAAATTTGTATTAACATGGCAGTGACCTTTGGTTCCAAATTTTCCCGTCGCAACTAAATAAACCGGTCAAGCGCAAATCTAATTTGTGCATAAAATATCTATAAAAGAAGCAAATAATTGTATAGTCTTGAATATTAATTTTATTTGTTGGTAACGCAACTAAGAAATACTAAAAAAACTATTTAAATAAAACCGAATAAAAACGTTTAAGCCGCGATATACATTTATTCAAACTTATTTGAAAATGAATTTCACTACGGCCCGACGTTTCGAATTCTTTGCAGCAGCCGTGGTCATGGGGAGTTCAAATGAACTAATATATATCCCGTTTACAAATGTTAAATTGTTTTATTTAAGTGTCTACTACTCGCGTAAACTAAAGACAATATTTAACTAAAAAACAAATTAATACTGGTTCGTACGAATAAGTCAAACTTCATATTATATACTATATATTGTGGTCAGATCACATTTGAATTGTTTGCTGCTTTATGAAAATTACTTTTTTTTTCTATAGAATAATCTATGAGAGTAATAACGGGCTAACTCTCAATAACGCCATATTACATGTACGTTTAATTAATTTGAAAATCAATAATATAATTTTTTCTATAATTTCTATTAGATAATATTATTAACTGAATCAGTGCATACTCTGATAAAATTATATAATTTAAAATGATTTATTATAACCAACGTACGGCCACCGAAACTGATTAACTATCGCCCGTTTACCCAAAAGTGTTAAGGGCCCGGAATTAAATTCTCAGGGATAGAATAATTTATTTCAATCAGCCAAAACATCTATATCTGATCAACTACTTGTATGTTAATAAAGTTTACCAGTGAAACGATTATCCTGTGCCCTAAGGGGTGAAACAGGATTTCTCCTCGTAATGAAAAGAAGAAATATTAGTTACAGCCGTTCGGTATCCACTGCTGGACATAGATAGGCCCCTTCCAAAGACTTCCAGTACGACCGGTCCTTCGCTAGTTGAATCCAGCGTTTTCCCGCTAACTTAACCAGGGAGACCTACCAGGTGGACTGACGAATGTCCAAAAAAAATATTAGGTCTAATGTGTTTTTCTGACACTTCGAAGCTTTTCGGCTGGCGTATATGTGCAACGTGTAGAACAATTTCCACTTTAAAAGTACATGATGTTATAAGGTGTCCGAAAGCATTTCCGTATGACCTTAACCTATAAAGATCTCTAAAGTATGCGTGCAGTCTTTAATCAGTCTAAAGTCAGATTTTAAATTATGTATACTATTTATTTAAATAATTTGTACAGGAATTCGTGCAATCCTTCTTCGCTGGTACCCTGAAGCAGCACCTTCTCAGCGAAGACCTCCCAGAAGACTGGTCCGCCAAGCCCGTTAAGGTGTTAGTCGCTAACAACTTCGACGAAATAGTTTTCGACGCCAACAAGAAGGTCCTTGTGGAGTTCTACGCACCTTGGTGAGTCTTCTTTCACATAATTACCTCTATCTATACTAATATATAGAGCTGAAGAGTTTGTTTGTATGTTTGAACGCGCTAATCTCAGTAAGTACTGGTTCGAATTGAAATATTATTTATGTGTTGGTTAGCGCATTTATTAGGGAAAGGCTATGGGCTATAAAACATCGATGTCACTAATATGCGCGAAGAAACAGCGGGAAATGTCGAAAAACGGGGGCAATTTTTCATCCATGTGGGTTTCCTTTGCGTAGCTTGCGTAACAAGATACGCAAAAAATATGTATGGAAGAATGATTTCTCTTGAAATGATCTAAAAACAAGTCCGCGACATTATATTATGTATATCTCGTAAGATTAATTGCAATGACGACGGGACGGGAACAACGTCGTGGGTAACAGCTTAAGTTTTTAAAGATGAAATGAGGGTTTGCAAAGCCGAATTTGGATGACCAAAATAACGATAATGCAATGAGGTTGCTAAAACAGACGAGTTGAGTTAATCTAATAGACGGCAATATGAATACTAGTTGACCTGGCAAACGTTGTTGCGTATTCCATTTTTAAGACCTGTTCTATAACGGTTCCTGAGGAATCTTAAGTTTATTACATATTTTTTGGTTACTCGAACCGTTTTCGCAACGAACGTAACGGAAGTCTTCAAATTTCAATAACACTGTTTTTGTAGCCTATAACATACTTTAATAAATGGTCGAACCAGCGTAAAAATATTTCTTCATTTCGAACCAGTAATTCCTGAGCTTAGCGCGTTCAAACAAACAAACTCTTCAGCTTTAAAATATTAGTATAGATTAATTTCCATAGTATGAAAAAGCAAACAATGCGTTAGTATTATTACAACTCACTGAATACGTCTTAACGATTCGCACACTTGGGTAAACAAGCTATGAAACTGGCTTCGGAACCGTTGGCATCATTGTGCGTTGTCTGGTCTGTTTGAATAAGTTAAATTTATTGCATCATATTAAAACAGATGTCAGAACAGAACAATACTACCTTGAAAAGTTGAAATTGAACACAAGGTAATGAATTACGACCAAAGAAAATTCGGGATCACGAGGAAATATTCAGGCATTTAAAATATTTTTTTTACTACCAGCTAGAGAGATACAAGAAGAAATAAATATTTTATCTATTAGCATAATGTTTGTCTGTAGCTAAATGGTAAAAGGCGTTGCCTAGCACTGCGTTAAGCGCGAGAAATCCTAGGTTCTAATTCCGGAGAAGCAATAGTTTGTTTGCTCGGGCAGAGCACTGAAGTCTGATCAACTACTTACCTATAAATAGAACCGATCACGGACGTAGAAATGTGTTGGCCCCATGCCCCAAAGGGTGAAACGGGATTTCTCTTTATTAGCATAATAGTCACGAATACTTATTTACTTACTTTGCTCGTGTCTAGGTGCGGCCATTGCAAACAGCTAGTGCCGATCTACGACAAACTCGGTGAACACTTTGAGAAGGACGACGATGTCGTTATTGCCAAGATCGACGCGACTGCCAATGAGTTGGAGCACACGAAGATCACATCCTTCCCCACCATCAAACTTTACACCAAGGACAACCAGGTATATACATACATAATATATCCTTACTAATATTATGAATGCGAAAGTAACTCCTGTCTGTCTGTCTGTTACTCTTTCACGCCGAAACTACTGAAAGGATTTGAATGAAATTTGGTACAAAGATGGTCTAGTCTTTTTAGTGTGAAAAGGGGATTGTAAGTGGTTAAAAGGGATGCAAGTTGGTATGGAAATTCGTGGTTTTTAAAGCTAGAACAATGAAACTTTCTTCTCTGGATTTTTGGGAATGGGAGTAAGAGTGAGAGTTAGAGTAGGAGTAATGTGAGGTGAGAGTGTTGCGGCAAAGTAGCACTTACAACACAGATTGGCTGCGATAAATGCGTAATTACATAAATTAATAAACAGCCTTAATAAGAAAAAAATTCTACCCCAAGTCACTATTCCACGCGAACGAAGTCGCGGGCGCAGCTAGTTCATACTATTAATGACACATAACAAAACAGTGCAGTTTAAGACATCCTAAATAACGACTCTCAAGGTTTACAAATTCTCTTTGTGAAGTAAGAATTAATGTCTTTAAAAAAATATTCCACTTTTAATACTATCATTAGAATGATTAGTGTGGGTCATATACAAAACTACAAAGTATTCTATTATTATTATTTTGTGTACAGGTCCGCGACTACAACGGCGAACGTACTCTCGCTGCTTTAACCAAGTTCGTAGAGACTGATGGAGAAGGCGCCGAGTCTGTGCCTTCTGCGGTCAGTATTTTATTTAAATGTTATATTTTAGACGCGAAGCCATCCTTCTTGTATTCCACGATGCAGGGCGTTTTTATCTTCAAGTTATTACAATAGTCTGTATAGTCTATATTTTTGCCCTCTACTAATTAAGTTTTACTATAATATTTTGTAATAACTAACGTTTTTATTCCAGTCGGAAGAGGAAGAAGAAGACGCAGCGCCTAGGGACGAGTTATAAGCAAAGCGGCCAATCTCTCTGAGACTTCCATAGGTTATACTGTATAGATGTAACTAAACTAACATTGCATTTGTAAGCAATTTATAGACTGTTAATTTTTATATTGTTTTGAGGTTGTAATTCCTTTTCGTTGAGTTTAATGGACAAAATCTGTTTTAAAATATTCCCTACAGCTATTTTCTATAATAGAATAATTTTTCACGTTATGTTTCTCTGCCTTCGAAATCTTAAAATCGCTTAGGACAAACGCGTCAGTTATTTATACATGCATAATTTATTACATTATCAGCAGCAATTAGATTATGTATGTGTCTATATTTATAATTTCTGTATCATAATGGAGTGTTACATTCCTCAGTACAAAGTTGTGTTACATCGAACAAGCGCTTCGCCGCTTCTAGCTTAAATCTCATTTTTATATTTTTTACGAAGTGTTTAATTTCATCACAATGGTCTTTCGATATCGTTCGTATGCTTTTCAAAACGGTAATTAATATTATTCGTAAATTTTATCTTATATAGATCTAGGTGCTTAGAAAAGGATAAGATCAAATATTTTCTCATTATTGGTTACGAAAATAATGTAAATATTACTTTGAATTGAATCCACATCTGTTGTATTTATTGTGGATACAGAAATTAATAAATAAAAAATATTTATAAAATTAAATTTTGTATTTTAATTACATATTTTTGTTTGTTCTATCAACAATATTCTGTTGATGTTTAAATGGATTTTTTACACCTTGGGTTACTAGTTTAAGTTATATTTTTTTACACATTAGTGTAAATTTTTTAAATGAAACACTTTAACGGTTTAAAACGCGATATATATTATTCGCGTAAACTACAGGCAGTATTTCATTAGTGTAGATGTATTTAACAAAGAAAAACAAATATTTGCACAATTCATTTATTATATTAAATACAACGATTAAAACATAAAATAACTCTTTTAAATTATTAACATCAAGCTTGTTCCATATAAAACTATCACAAACCAAATACCATAGTAATAACAGTGACAGGAATGGAATGGCTAAACATTTCGATAATAACAATATACATGGCAAATACAGGCATACGTACAAATGTATGCATGTGTATCAACATACACATGTTGCCATAAATATATATGAAATACACAACTATTAAAATCAGTCCAAAAAAAGTGCCGCCTTGATTTATCGATTTAAGCTAACGTTAATAGTTTATTAATGTTAGCTATAAAAAAAATAAAGCCTCTATCTTTACATAGACCAAAATTTAACTTCAAAATTGATTTTAACTTTAAATATTTTTTTTTTATTTAAAATTAAAAGCAAGTCCTGTGACCGCGGATTCTGCAAAATACCTGAAATGCCAAGCCACAATTGAAATAAGTCAACGAATATATCTCGCGTTTTAAACCGTTAGAAGTATAGAATTTAAATGTGGACTACAGGTGTAGACAACACAATGTTCGATTTTACACTGTTCAAGAATTAATGGTATATAGTACGGAATGCAAATAGATCATCAATCATAAGTAATTTTTTATCTGTAAAGCACATAACTGCATCTTAACCAGTCGATAAACTACATTGACCGGTTTATTTCAAACAACGGTACATTGTCTGTTTTTGGGGTCAAAGCCCGTAGATTTAATTGTAGTCATGGTACTTCGTATAGTCGGATCTCTAAATATCTCTAGCAACAAAAGCGCACGAAAAGGTTTTAGTAAATGCCATGCTAACCCGATGTCGACACAATTTCAACAAGGTATAAGTAGCGGCAAGGATCTTTAGCGCTGAACGAATCCTGCGCAGAAGTCAGCAGGATAAGATATCGAAGGAACGGAAGCGGGCGCGGGGCGATTGAACGTCATGCGCGCTAGCGTCGATTGGTTCCTCAGTCGTGTTGTCTTTCTCGGACCAATACGACGCTCCGCTTGCTTCTCGAGTACAGTCACGATTTTCAATCAATTACATTCGCGATTGTACAGATACGCAACGATCCCCTCTACACTTCGTTCAGCGCCGCGACCTGTAATTGATAAAATAACGAAAAAATAATTGGGATACACTGACGCCAAAACATAAATAAACATATTAATAAAAAAAATCTATTCTATCTTATACAACTTTAATCACAATGTATATGTATACGATTTTATATATTAGAGAATTATTTCAATTCATTATACAATGATTATTCCATTTAATGCAATAAATACCTATAAATACAATATTCTGTAAACTTAAAAACTAATTACAGGCTTAATTAAACTTAGTAACGCGATAACATTTGTGTAACGACCCGGTCTCTTGACATTTCAAACATTGTCCTGGTCTTTTTAGGATCAACTAATAGTGGAGAACAGAGTACCAAGACTTTAATATGCACTATAGGATGTGTTCATACGAGGATGATGTGTTATTTGGCTTTTTTCCGATTTTAACGGTTTCATAAACGGTAAGGTAACGTTACATAAGCGTAGCTATGTAAAGGTTTGTACTTGCTGTGTACGTGAAATAAAAAAATCGTAACATAATTTTGCAAAAATTATTAATTAGAATTAATCAACAAAATATGTATGTGTACAGTCTGCGTCTGAAAATATTAAAGCGACAAAATGTATTGTGGAGCTTATATTAAGAAAGCTAGGCTCTAATTTCGTAGTACTACGGTGCCAGCTTTATAAGATGCATTCTTGATACGGTGGGTCGATTTTTCAATTGCCAAATATCCTTTAGGTTCAATTTGATTAAAATATTGGATTTCAAATACAATTGCAAATAAAATATGCGTTCCCCAAAACTCTCGATTTGAAATCAATATTTCAAAATCGATTAGGATAATACAACGATTGAAAAAGCAATCGTGCAAAGTTTAAATATAGCTCCTTACGGTAGACAGTTGTTGCCACGGAGGAATTTACTATCTCAGTGATTTAATTATAAGTGACAAAAAATGATTCTTAAACAATAGATTTTTTTTCACATAACAACGCTAAAAGGGGAATGCTGGTCTCTAGTGGACATCCAAAACTTCTTTCCAGATCCCGATTCCAGAAGAATGAAATTGTTCTATCAATCACAGTCATAATATTAAAAATAATATGGACGAAGGTTACCCTTTGTCTGACTATTGATCTTACCCAACCCCCCCTCCCTCCCCAATCCCCTCCAATGCTTTTGGTGGTTAGTAATTTTTAGTAAATTGGTATTGGATACTAAATTGGTACTATATACACATTTAGTATCAAACTAGTGACAAATATCGACGTTCGGTCATCAATTTTGTAATACGTCCACTGAGATAGCAAATCACATTGTGTCACGGTTCCCCAACCGTTCATAGCGCGAACATCGAATCTTGATCCTTGTTGATTTGCCTGTGCCTAGGTGTGTTGTTAGAGGTGCTAGTGTTGTTAGCATCAGGCAGATTGTCGGCAGCTGCTGCTCGTTCAGCCAAAAACTTTTCAAAGTCGCTGCTGGTCACACTCTCCTGGCCAGCGTTCGCTTCTGAAGCGGCCTATAATATTTGAAATATATAATAAGCTTGAAATAAAATGTATTTATTTAGACAACATTTTTAGAAAAGATATACAAAGACATACAAGCATTGCTTCACTTGATCCTACCATGAAATGAATCGATAGCGCATCTTATTTAGAACCGCTTTCTACCTATTTTCGCTTTGGATATTTGGAAATCCACTGACTGAAACCGAAACGTGATTAAATCTCATGGCTTTTTCATCTGTGGACAGAGATGCGGACCCCGGACGGAATTTCGATATTCCTACCACTCATTTCCAGATTTCCAGACGAAGTCCAACATGTTTTAGAGAAATTATAAATTGTTTAGATATAATTGAAATATATGATTAAGTAGTGTATGAAAAAAAAGCTTGCTCAAATAAGAAATGTGTACGATTATCAATGTTAATATATAAAATACTTATGTACAAAATACAAGTAGTAGGAAAAATACTCCAGTGAATAAAACACTTTAACGGTTTAAAACGCGATATATTAGTTAGTAACTAATATACCGCGTTTTAAACCGTTAAAGTGTTTTATTTAAATGTGTACTACTCGCGTAAACTATAGACAGAATTTACTCCAGTGAATCTACGTGCAACGCAACGTATATAGCTAAGAAGGTAAAACACTTGAACAAAATTGAACTCAAATCACCTTTTCTTGCTCTAACCAGGCTGATATTTCATCGATTTCCCTCTGATCCATTCCCGAGGGCTGTCGAAAAATAAAATAATAAGGAAACTTAAAAAGTAAAAACTTAATATAAGCAACTCGTTTTATAAATAAGAAATTACAGATATATATATATATATATATATATACAAAGAAACATTACAAAAATAATCATCAAAAAGTAGGTATTAAAGTCAAAACAATTGATATCGTATTGTTAACATATTGAAATTAAAATAAAACACATCAAACGGTCTAAAACGCAAACTAATAATACATTTTTAAGCCGAAGTTGTTGGAGGATATTTAGCATTAATGACTGTTACCTTCATATAATTCGCGTTTTAAACCGTTACCTGTTTGCATATTTTTTATTATCTCTTATATTTAAAAATAATGTCTATGCACTTACCAAAGGCTGCTGTGTGGCGCGAGTGTTAGCAGCAGCAGCAAGACCAGCTGATGTCTGTTCCTCCAAATTATCCGCATAGCTGCTCCCGCTATAATATATCCTATTTTTATTAATTTCAAATTTTACCTCAAAATGTATACATTTTGTATGTAATACAAGTCCTCCAAATAACACTGATCAACCGATTCCACAAAGTCAGTGGACCATTTCACTCAGACAAGAAATCACCATAATTTCAAACAATTTTAATATAATATTTAGCATATAAATAGAAGTAGGAAAATACATACCCCGTCTTTGTAGATTCGTATGTGACGTTACGAGATTGCGCGAACATATCAAACTCGTCTTTGGAACTGCTTGGTGACTTTTCACCTTGGGCTTCTTTTACAGCTATAAAAAAACAATTCAATAATTTAAAACATAACTATGTGTATTTTTTTTTTGTTTCTTAATTATTAACAAATACAAATTTTAAGAGCAACTAATTACAATATAGATATAACTTACAAAGCTTGGCGACGTCTGGAACATCGTCACTCAAGTCGATGAGGGCATCCTCTTCTTTCTTTGGTGCTAAAAAGAGAAAAGAGAAATCAGTAATCGAAGCATCAAATACACTTTCTAAACAAACAAAACAAGTTTTGACCTATAACAATTTAGGAAATCTAGAATAAGCTGCAAAAATGTAATTAAAAATATGATATTATTTTATACTAAGCGTAGGTTATGATAGAGGAGGACAGAAAACTGTCTATAGTTTACGCGAGTAGTACACATTTAAATAAAACAGATCTTGAACGGTTTAAAACGCTGTCGAATGATATTAGCTTTAAACTTATTCTGAAATACATAGATCTAAAACTTCAGCCCGACGTTTCGACATTGCAGCAGCCGTTCCGTGACCAGGCTGTAGATTGTAAATATAAAATAAAAGTGCTACATGTTACACCATTAAGTTTATTGTTACCTATTGTTATTGTTGATCTGTGCTGTTACTCGTTAAAAGTTCGATTCAACGTGTGGTTCTTATTTTAAATCTTCGAGTTAAATGTGGTACAAGCTGGTGTCACGTAAATGTCAACCCGTTTGACAGTTTGTATTGTCAAACCAAAGAGAATGCCAAAACAACAAAACGGCAACTGCGCCGCTCCTTAACTTATACTAGAATCGGCCTGTGGAGCGTTTTACGATTTGCTGATTTATATAACTCACGAGAAACGGTTCCAGGCACTCCCATGGCGGCGCCCAAAATCGCAGATGGAGTAGCAACACCGGTGGCTGCGTTCCTACGAACACAGAAATGAAAAATACTTAACTAAGCAAAGCATAGTACAATTCACTACGTTTCTTCCTGTAAGTGGAAGGTGGTTTCTGATCGAATCCCTTGGAAAGAAAATCAAACTAGTTATATACCTGTTGCTTGTAAGCCGAGAATGCCTCAGCAGCAGATTATGCAGTTGGTCGTTGGTGAGAAGCAGTTGTGCTGTTAGGGGACATTCGTCGGACACACGGCCCACTAACTCTGCCACGCGAGTCTGCATAGCGCGAAGCGTATCTGCCAGTTCCTATAAAGACATAATAAAAGATATAAGGTCTTGTCTGCACTTTACGCGTGTATTAGTCAAATTGAAATAAAACGATTTAACTGGTTTAAAATGTATCCTAGCTATTACCCCCCGTGACCATGGCTGCTGCAAATTATCCAAACGAAATTATATACAAAAAATATTGTGCGAGGGGTGCCTGTATCAATAGGTTGACGATGCTAGACACGGTAGCTCAAATGGTCAGAGCAACACGGCACGCTGTGGATGTGTGATGTGTGGTTCAAGTCACTGAAATCGATTTTTAATTTATGTAAATACATACATCTAACAGTTGTATGTCGGACTCGTGGTGTTGCGTGTACGGTTGCGCCGTGAACTCGTTAAGCATATCGGTCATGACGTTCATGTTGCCCTCCACAACAGCTAAGTCAGCACGGAGCTTGCTCGTTTGACTCTCCGATAATGTCACCTGAAATATAATTTCATCATTAATATCCACATCTGGGCAAAGGTCTTCTCTCCCAAGGAGTCCAAATATCTTACCCCCACGACTTTACTTCAGCGGGTAGGCAGTTTGCAACAACTACCGCCAGTAATTAACTAGAGACACAGATAACGGTAGAGTACCCAAAACGTCGCCTCTATAGCTAAATGGTTGCCTAGCAATGCTTTAAGCTCTAGAGGTCCTGGGTTAGTATCCCGGGAGACAGTAGTTATTTGATCGGGCAGGGCACATAATTCTTATCTACTACTTGCCTGTAAATACAGCCTGGAAACAGACACAGAAATATTTTCGCCCCGAGCCCCAGGAAGGAAAAGGGAATTTTTTACTCAGAATGTACATGTTGGGTAGTTAAAAAAAAACTACAAATCGTATATTTAATGGATAAAGTGGTTTATTTTGATATACATATCTACCAAATTTAGTTAGGCGATCGGGGTTTTTATATTATACAGAATAAATAAAATAGGTCCTACCGTTCCAGTGCTACTCTCCAGCGGCATCCTAGTAGGCGAGCTTGGTGCTAAGATAGAGCGTTGTGGAGATCCTACCACCGGCTCTCCATCCGGATCCCTGGAAGGAACACCTCTTTCTGACTATGAAGTATAGCTTATTATTATTAAAAAATGTATGTCAAGTGAAAATGATAAATAAGTAATAGCAATAATTAAAAAATTGTAGAATAACGCATAATGTTGATAAAATATCGTATTCCATGTTAATGAGGAAGTGGTTCTCAATTACGACCGTCCGAACAGAACAGCTCGCTTCGCAAGATGACTGCGAAAGCCTTTAAAAAATCTACAATATTACTATGTATCATTTTTAACGACTTAGTAAAAATTTTAAAAACAATGTTTTTTTCAATTTCTATTTTTTTTTCAACAAATATTTAATTTTTAATTTTGAAAACGGATATATTTTATAAGCGATTATTGAAAGGGGGCTGATATTATAACGCATTCACAAGGATGATTTCCCAGGATTCGAATCAAGGACTAGTGCACTAGACTATATTTTATAACAGAACCATGTAAATGTCATATTATTTACTAGTTAGACAAACAAATATCTATTTAGCATTTCATAATTCATAATTACTTACGCGTTGCGGGGTAAATATAGGCGCCATCGCGTCGAGGTCGGTCATCGGGAACTCTACACCTTTGGTCCGTAATTCGTTGTATATTTGTACTACACCCTGGAAATATAAACGATTTTTTTAACAGGCCGGCCCAACTCTCAAGATTTCTGTTATAATTCTCTGCATTAAGGACTTAGACCACTAAGACTTTCATATGGAACCTATTAAAGTAAATGTGTACGTTTTCTTTAAGATAGAGAAGAACACACAAGCATACGGTGGTAAGCACTTGATGGAATGTTAAAAAATCTGTGTATCATCTGCCACGGTAGTTTGTGACCTGGACAAAATTTCGATATCGCTACCATACTTTTACCGCCGAGAGACCGCTTCTGTAGCAAAATGGTTAAACGTGTTGCCTAGCTGTGTGTGTAAAGCGCGAGAGGTCCTGGGTTCGAATCCCGGGAAAGCAATAGATTGTTTCGGTCGGGCAGGGCACAGAAGTCTGATCAACTACTTGCATGTAAATAAAAATCGATCAGTGAAACGGTCACAAAAATGTGTTCGCCCCATGCCCCACGAGTATAACGGGATTTCACACAAACCATACTTTAACTTAAGAACTCATAATGTGACTACATATAGTAACAGAGACCCTTTTCTTCTTATTTATAATACCTATTGGTAGAGTTTTGTTTACGTAAAAAACAAATTAATTTTAACGGCGTAAAAGCCGAAATATATTTTTAACATGCAGTTACCAACAATGGTTGAGTGTTTAAAGTAATTCATTAATTCTTTACAGCATATAAAACAGCGTGTTTATAGAAAACCGGTGGAATGAGTGCTACATGAAACTCAATCCTTGTCTATGCGGACGTCGTAGTTAGATCAAATATCACCAGCGTATGTAATACAAGGCTTCTCTACATCATTTCTTTGAATATTAGGTCAACAAAGGTCGTAGGGCGTTTTTGTCTAACCTTCGTTACTATATGTATTATTAGCCGACGATGTAGAAGCAAAAAGACAGAGTATAAAAAATGATATAGATGCACTTCGCACTCTTCAGTTAATAATTATTCGTCGCCATGTTTTTAAAACCTTATGTGTGCTTATAAAACATTGCTAAATTACTAGTGTAAATATCTTGAAATAAATCTGTTAAGTCTTATCGATTACTTACGATAAAAATATAATGCAATGCTTAACTGAGAAAAATGTTATCAAAGATTATTTTGATATCAGATCGCTAGCCAACATGATGTAGTTGGAGATTAGTACGTAAACCAAAGACTACTATTTAAAAAAGCGATTTACCTAAAGGAAGGTATATTTGCTTTCTTATTTTTCATAACCAAAGCCAGCGTGTTATGACAAATATTGGAGTATTGTTAGCAAAGTCATGATAGTTTTTTTTTCACAATCATAACAATATTGACCCCCTCACCTGCAAGTCTGGTTGATTTTGGAATGCATCTGCCCAGCATTGTATCAGACTTAAAACTTTCTCCTGCACCACTGTTGGTGGGTCGTTTTTTGGTCCAATCAACTTTACCTAAAACACAAAAGACATATAAGGTTTTTTTTTTTAATTTAACCTGTTTTATTTCAAAGCAAGTATGGGTTTTTTTTCATGGAATTTGGAAAGCATTTTAAGGAATAAAACTGAGGAAATGATAGAATCATTGTCATTGCTATATTCAATTAAGACAACAAAGACCACACCTACTTACGAAGTGCGTAGACTTCGTAAGTAGGTGTTGTCAATTATGAATCATAATTAACTGAACAGGTTTGGATTAGAAAAATATTATGAAATCGTCTAATGACTTATTAATGTGGAAATAAACATTTATCTGTTATATATTATTTATAATCATTTGTTTGTTTGAAACAATATTGGCTACATTTACTATATGGATAGGTTAGATTCCAATAATATTACTAAAGGCTAAAAAAAGTTATTTAAAAAATAAGAATACTTAAAAGTGTAATTTTATACATAAAATATACATACAAGCAATGTAAGATATGTTTTCGTTCAATGACAAAAAATACTATAGATAGCATTGATAATAAAAGATGTCATTGTTTATACTGTAAACATGAAGACAGTAATATACAATAAATATATAAAGGTCACATATAAATTGGCTCTGTTTCTCGTTATTACTCTATGTTAATGGGCTGGTGTGAGTCGACAACCAGTTGTAGAATTCCATATACATATATATAATCTTAAATGACATCATAAGACTTTTAACAATGTTTTTTTTAGCAATATTTACTTAGCATAATATGATTGTGAGAGGATAAAATTTTTTATACATCATTTATCTCAAATATTCACGTATATAGTGTAAGTTAAGTAGCTATAAAAAAAAATAAGTATTCTTTTATGCTACTACAAAAATTTTCATTATTTTTTATGACGTTTAATGATGTTTGAAGTGAGTAGTAAAATATCGAATGGGTAAGAGCCATATTGGGTAGACAATATTACAAAAATTTCCAAAAAAAATGTAAATTTTTCCACTTTTTTTATATGTGTATCTACAAGAGATACATAATATAAAAAGTGGGATCACAATATTTAATTTGACAACATTTGCAATAATGTTAGCAGTGGCGTAACTATACCGTTCCAGGCCCGTGGCCTCCCACTTCCCCAATATATAAAGAAGCTGAACCAACAATTGAGATTTCCTCTGCCGGGGGCCCCTTCGGGCTGGGGGCTCATGGTATTTTGCCGACTTGCCACCCTATAGTTTCGCCACTGAATGTTAGGCTTGTTTCTTTAAATGCCCTTGCTTACAATTAGCAATAAAACAGACATTTTAAAGGTAGCGTGTGAATGACATTTTATCTGATAAAACTTTATTTACTTATCATATTTAAGATACCATTGTATTGTTTAATATGAAGATGTGTAGCCTAATATGGTGTTTATATTTATTTGCTTTTTTTATCATATTTTTCAAATATTTTTTTCTATGGAATCAGATTTGCCTATTGACTATTAGTCTTGAATACGTTGTTTTATAGTTTTGGATTGGATTATTGGCACAAATAATTATTTATTGCATATTTATAGCAAAATTGACACTGTACTGATTTCTAATGCACTCAGTAGTATGGTCAAGGTGAGTTCAAACAAACAAGCAGTACCTACTCTAAATTACAGCAAACAAGGTCAAATCCATTTGTCATACTCACCAACTCAGATATAAACTCCTTACTGCATACCAAGACATGGAAAGATCTACCACAATTTTTTACACAGCTTTCAAGCACAGTTAGACTGTACATTACAATTGTGTAATTCTTTCCGGCACTTTGAGTCAGTCTTTTTCTGATTGCTTTTATTGCATCTTTAGGTCCGTCTGCGCTTGTATTTATAATATCACATATTTCCATGTTGAGAGCCCAGTTCTCCGAAGGAAGAGATCCATCTGTGGCTTGTTCTGAAAGTGTTAAGGGTTTGCACTAATATTCAAACTTCAATATAAAAATTTATGCACATTTATATGAAGTCGGTATAAATTATTATACATTACTAAAATAAGATATAATTGTGCTTTTTACACCACTATTTCTACAAAACAAAGAAAACTACTATTTCCGAGAATAATGCGCAACACTATCCGAGTAGTTATTCAAACTTACCAATTTTTTGGCCAACCGGTGTAGCAAAAGGATTTCCTACCCCAAAGAAAGACATTTTTGCCCTTTATGATTCTAACACCTTTCTACTTTCTATTGCATTTATCAAAGATTATGTTATTTTCACTTTTTAATCGCTTGTTACTAATTCTCTTTTCACTTTGACAGCTTAACAATTTCAAAATGACATTACGAAATTGTAAACACACGTTCCGTTTTACTAAAATGTCTGTACATTCAATATAAAACATATTATACAGTGGGATGATAAAAATATAAACTTAATTTTTTTATCTTTTTTATCACTATAAAGCCTTTTTAATCCTCACATGTTAAAGAAACCTTTGCAATATTTTTATGAAACTCAACGCGTTCCTCTTAGAAACCAACGCGGTAATTATAAAAACTTAAGACTCGTTACTTTTGTGGGTTTGACTTTGACCCCTGTAACTTAGCAGCTGTCAAACAAAACGTTTGATCTATAATTTAATTACTGTTGGAGGAAACATTCGACTGTAAACGAATATGACTGAAAAGAAATCTCTAAATAGCTTAATCATACACCCAGATATAGAGCCTGGTGTAATAGACAATGCAATGATTACCAGATGTATTCTTGAATATGGTAAGATTTATAAGGAAGATGGTAGTATTTATAAGGAGGCGTTAATAAAGCGTCCTTCAAATATTGTTGTATTTGTTTTTAATATTTTAATTGCCTGCCTTGTTTTATATAACTATATTGAGGCAATTTTTACCCAATTAAAAGGTCCCACGGAAGAGGCTGGTAGACTTTTCGCTGAAGAGGGCGTACATTTAGATGAAGCACCGATAGTTCGATTAGAATTTCAAAATATACTCAGAATCGATCACCTTTGGATGCTCAAATCATTGAGAAAATTAACTCTTGCGCATAATTTAATAGAGAAAATCGAAAATTTGGAACAGTTAACTGGGCTTAACGAATTAGATCTATCGTTTAATAAAATCGAAAGAATCGATAATTTGGAAGAGTTAACGAATTTAGAAATTTTAACATTGTTTCACAATAGAATCAGAAAGTTGGAAAATATGGATACTTTGGAAAAACTGATGGTTTTCAGCATTGGGGATAACTTAATCGAGGATTATAAAGAGGTACGGCAAATGTTTTCTCGTCGCACACCTCAAATTTAATAGAAATGTATTCCTTTTCCTTAGATGGCGTATTTACGACGATTCCGAAAATTACGTTCAGTAAGCTTTAAGGGAAATCCATGTTGCGATGATCCCATGACCAATCAATTTCTGAAATCCGCTCTCACTAGAGTAACTTATCTAGACTATAAACTTATCACTGAAGAGGAAAGGGAAGCTGGTGTGGCTTTATTCCGGTAAAAATAACTACCTACAACTTTAGTATTTCTAAACTTATATTACACAAAAAAGAATTTGAATGTCCTAAGTCTTGATACCAAACATTTACAAAAAATAGGAATAAAAGACTGTTTGTTCCCTGAGTCTGTTACATCTATGTTTTTTTGACAACGCAAGCCCAGCACACAAGATACCCTTGTGTTGAAAAAAAAAACAAATTGCAGCGGAATTCTTCGAAAGCTAGATGACGCTGACGAAAAGTCGGAAAAGGCGCGAATAGCTAAAGAAGAATACGACGCAAGAGTGGAGTTCTACGCTATGTCTTTCGTGGAGTACTTAAGTGGACCGGAATTGATTGAAAGTATGTTTGAAAAGGACCCTGATGGAGCACTGCTGTTACAAGTTGGTGGGGAGCTACTAGGATTCTTTGAACAGTGGGTAATTTTGGAACGCACCATCGTCATATTAATCGTTTCATATCTCACACATCTATGCGATACAAGGTCCAAAGTTAATCCTTATCAGATATAAATTAAAGGTCTACTAAAGCATGTGTATGGTATATGTCAATGGCATTTACTGATAAAACGAAATATCACTCAAGTAAACCTGTATCATCTTTAAATGATCGCTAAGGAATGTGAGCTTGCAAAAATATAAAGCCTAGCAACAATTCTTTATTTCTAGCAATGTAAAATTACGGCATCTTTAAAAAAATTAACACTATTTAAAAATAATAATATAACTAGTATAAATAGTTAGTACAATATAAATTTTAAATATTTTGAGTTCGTACAGCTCTAATTTCCAAGGAAAATCCTTTTAAATTACTGCGATCAGGTTATGGACTCCTTACCCGTTTCCATAAGAATTTAGCCCTCCCGTCTTTTAGGACTTCTTTATAAACATTTGCTGTCTACCAATTTTTATCGGTCTTCATTATCAATTTAATCTATACTAAAATTATAAAGAGGAAAGATTTGTATTTTTGTATGTAACGGATAAACTCAAAAAGTACTCGACCGATTTTAATAATTCTTTTTTCATTAGTAAGCCACATTATTACTGAGTAACATAGCATATTTAATACTTGATTACTATAGGCATCTATAGAAATTCTTACTAAAACCAACGGAAGGCGTAAAAAAAATTAGTCGTAAACTGTCTTTCTTCGCATACGCTGCGAAAAGTATTAATGATAGGACAAAAACATGTTCAACAATATTATAGAATATATCAATATCTACAAAAAAACATCACGAGAGCATATGTCTAACTAGTTTATTCTTAATTTCTCTGATTTAAAATAAATATCCTTCATAGCAACATCCCTAGAAGAAGAAGGTCGCAGCTATCTAAGAATAGTTTCCAAGTGAGATTAGCAAAAGTTCGTCGTATTGGAGAGTGTTCTTCCTAAAATGATCGTCTGGGAAGTATTAGAGTGAACGCGTCCCAATCGCGAGCTAGAGATTTTATCGTCGAACGTTTAGGTTCGTCTTGCATAACAAAATGCAAGATCGTCGATCGTCGACTTGAAGGAAATAGAGCTAGGAATTCGCGAACGCGTGCACGGGACACTAGAACTAAACGCTCGCAGCGGCTCCTGAACCAGCGAGATAGACCACGGTCGGGAATAGAGAGGACGCGCAATACAATTTTTTCTAATTTAGTGATTCATGATCGTTTTAATTAGCATGCTTATAATTTAAATATTTGTACTTATCTATGTCTACCCGTGCGAAGCCGGGACAGGGCCGCTAGTTAAATATATAGTGGGTCCATATGTCTAAGTTAGTAAACATGTCATCCTTTTTAGATTAGTGTTTTTATTTTGGATATGCCTTTTTCTTGTTTGTATTAGTTTGTTTACCGTCCCTTGCACATCACATTTTCTATTTTTAAATTTTAGGTTGCCTGGAAGAGATCGCTAGTTAGCATTAAGGCACTTAAGTTTAGAATATAAGTTGAATTTTTAAAAAAATTTTTTGAAGTAGATTATTTCGCACATTCTTAAAAGTGGATCCATAAGTGCTATGAAGTTTCTTTTATTTCAGATATAAAGAGCAATACGTAGAAACTATGGCTGGTTTAGTTGAGTTCGCACAAGGGGCTTATAATACGCGACAAAACGAAATTAAACTGTTTAAAGATCTTGTGGATACGGCCCTGGAAGAGAGTGTAAGGAATAGTAAAGTGTAAGAAAGGCTTCGTTACTCAATCTTATTTTTTTAGAATCTAACCACTTTGTTTGTCTAGCGGTCAGTGCACTCGACTGATCTAGTGCTAGATCATGAGGTACTAGGTTCGGATTCTGGGTAAGGCGAAATGTTATACGGTATTATATTTTTTTCTAAAAAAATTCTATCACTATTCCAGAGTTTGGATGTGGGGGTCCAGGTGCCACCACCCCAAGCCTCGGAAAGCTTGGTTATTTCTTTGTCTTTAGCTTAGTGGTGGAAGTAGTTAAAGCTACATGCGTGGGGGGTGGGGGGGTTACAAGTTAAAACAGTTAGCAGTTAAAGCTATTAAGACGTTGAAAAATCAGATAATTTATTATGTATTAACATTACGTAAGTTTTATTTTCAAAGCAACTACAAATTAAAATTGATGTTAAGAACTTTGAATACTGTCGTCTAGAGTTGTAGAAGAGTACGAGGCAAAAAAGAAACCACTCGTGGATCAAATGAACGAGATCATAACTAAAGTTACAACAAAACAAGCGACGATAGAACAAATTGAGCCAACGATTATAGACGCGGGAGAAGCGTTCAACGACCTCATATATGATCTGTGGAAGAAGCTCATGACCATCGAGATGACGCTCTATGAGCGATGTGAGGTATTGTAAACATTTCTACAATATTATTGTACCGTTCGCAGCAGAGATTAAAAATCTCCTCCAATCGTTTACTGAAAGATTTACTGTTTATATCTTTTACATATCCACATTTAAAGATGTCCTAGATTGACCTGACAGTCTACCTACGTCAATTTGTAGGCAATTGTTAGTACATACTTAGACATGTAAGTGTTTATGCAGGACGAATGGAGGAAAAAGATGTCTAGTTAGCTACTACGCGGCTGTCGTTACTCTAACTGGGATGACAAAAAAACCTTAAAAATCAAATTTATAAATTTTGGTCTCATGGTTCGATCCCTAGGATTTCCAACATGTAGGTACATATAATTTTGTCTGATACGTGTTGGACCTCGTCTGGTAATCAGTGTCACGAACTACCGACTACATATGAAAAATCCTTGAACTTTGAAGTTTAATCGCATTTTATTTCAGTCTTTGTATTTCCGTATATTCAAATCCAAAATAGGTCAACAGCCGATCTTGTTGAGATGTTTTATGGCGCGGGTATATAATGTATTTAATCGTAAGCAAATGTCTGAACGTTCCTAAACAGGAGTCCAGGGTACAATTTTCCGTGAACATGACGGAGATGATAACGAAGCTGCTAGAAATATCTCGTAACGCATTCGGAGCGTGGCGAGAACACGAGGGGATGTGGTCCATGAGACAATTCGAGTCCCTCTCCAAGTTGTTGGGAAACAAAGTCATGCTGGGAGACGCACCTCCAGAACTCTTCGAGGTAAATTATTCTTGTTAAAACGCCGTTTTCTGTCATGTAATAATCATATATACATTTTTCGTATACTGTATTTTTACCACAACAAGTAAATATATCTCATTCAGGTACATTCTTTTTCTAATAACTCAGAGTGAGTTATTTTACTGGATTAATATAAAATTCAATAAAACGCTGTTAACAGTTTAAAACCTGAAATGTATGAACTTATTTACAATTTATTTATATATTTAATGCATTTTGAATTTTTAACGGCATAAAATGTTCTATTTAAATGTATATTAAGACGAATAACTGTATGATGAACTAAATTAAGCCGCGACTTTGCGTAGAATGCATATTTGCATGAATTAACACACACTTTTAAATACGCCTCAACAATTTGAAAACGCTAGAAACGCGAAGTATTTGAAATAACTTTTAAAAAAGACCCGACGCCGAAGAGCCAAAACACTACTTAACACGTTTTAATAACATTTATTATTTTTTAATGTCTGATCAGATTTTCTTGATCTTATAATGATTTAAAGACATTTTTTACTTTCTATCTATGTTTACTTACAGAAGAAGTTAATGCGATATTAACAGGCATTTAAATATCAGTTCTTGATACTTAGTCCTCGTTCCAGGTGATGATGGATAGAGACGCAATGATGAACCTCGTAGCGCAATCGTCTGACAATCACATGAGGTTTATCGACGCACGTGAAGACCTTTTGACTACTCGCGCCAATAAATGGCGTGATGATCTCGTTCAGGGGACAAATGAGTAAGTTCTTTTCGAAGGCTGAAGACAAATTAAGTTAATTCATCAAAATTGTTAACAAAATACCGTCTGAAGCTTACACGAGTAGTGCACATTTGAATAAAATATTTTAACAGTTTAAGACGCGATATATATTTATTAAACTTATTCCATCCATCAGCCGCAACGTCGGGCCGTATGCAAAATAATTTTCAAATAACATTTATTTAAAATTCTTTTATTTAAAATTTTTAACAAGTAAAATCCGTAGCCTTTTTTATGGGGCAAGGGGCGAACGTATGTGTCCGTCTTACTGATCTGTTATTACAGTTGTAGTTATGCCGACCGATATTTTTTTGATTCGCCGGATTTGAGCCCAGAACCAATGAAAAATTAATCATTGAGCTTCGGAGTTTGGTTATCTACTTTTCTTAGTAATATCTAAAGGTTTATTCTTGTATCGGTGTCCTTTACTAACTGCAGCTATATTATATAAATCGTGATAGTTTACACGTGATTATGTTGCCGCTGTTGCAATGAAAACAGAAAGAGTGGAAAGTTACCTTTAGATTTAAAAAATGGCTCTAAGCTATATGTTATAGATATATGTTATAACAGCACGGAAGGCTGTGACTGCCGGTTAGCGCCTTGACCGTGTCGTAAAACAAAACTATCTAAAATACATTTTTAGTTTATAATAATGTCATCATGTGTCAATATCATTGGAAATATAGTAAAAGTTTTCAAACAGAAAGAAGCTAATATATAAGAAGATCATACACCTGGTGTACGTTTCTTGTCTGATATTATATACATGAGACCTTTATATATTAAAAATACAATTAGAACGGCAATAGCCGTTACATTAATTGGATGAAACACATGTTTACATATTATAATTTTTTTGAAACCATTTGTGCCCGAGTGTCATTCGACCATTTTTTTCTATCTCCATTTGCTTTATTGATTCTAATAACTAATTCCTTTTCCACGGGGAGTCTCTCCGTGACCACGGCTGCTGCAAAGCATTTAAACCGTTAAAGTGTTTTATTTAAATGTGTACTACTCGCGTAAACTTTAGACAGTATTTAACTAATATCCTCTTTCAGTAACGAAGTGAAGCGGAATAGGGATAGAATAACCGAGATTTACTACTTCATAGACAACCAGCGCGAGGAATGGACAGACATGCAAATGAACATGACAGAAACTGTCGATCCGGAGACCGCTGCGCTGTTGGCTGATGAATTTTAGTATTAATAAATAAGGTTTATTACACATTAAGCGTTTATTGCAATGCGGTCAGGCGATCGACGCGGTTACAACTTGGTAAAATCGGTCACTGGGAATAAAAATTCGGTTTGGATCAGTCTAATCTAAACTAATATTAGAAATGTGTAAGTAACTCTGTCTGTCCGGTTGTAACTCCGAAACTACTGAACTGATTTAAATGAAATTTGGTACACAGATATTTTAGACCCTGAGAACTGAGACTTTTTAATGCCAAAAAGGGGTTGAAAGTTTGTATAGAAATTCATGGTTTTTGAAGCTAGAACAATGAAACTTTCTTTGGCTTTTTGGGATTAGGAGTGGTAGTGATGCGAGAGTGTTGCGGCAAAGTACAACATAAATTGGCTGCCTTAAATGCGCACTTACATAATTTAATAAACAGCCTCATTAATTAAAAATCCTACCCCAAGTCACTATACCACGCGGTCGAGTCGCGGGCACAGCTAGTTACAATATAAATTTGCTTATTGGAACTGTCTGGTAACATTCGAACAACCACAACGGTTGAGCAAGTCAACTTACAGTGCGTTCAAAAAGCAACTTTTTATACATATTTCTTACCGCGTTGCAGTAAGTCGCTTGGTGTGAATACGCCCTAATAAAACTTCGCTTTTAAAAATATACATCTTTATTTCTATATACACTGGGATTGTGATAAAAACATTCTTTGTATAAAATACTACACACCAATAACAATAATATATCAACAGACATTCAATAGTTAAGTGAAATTTTATTCTGATTTGTTCTGTTTCGATTTCAACATATGTATGTACATTTCCAGAGACTGTTGTACTTGAGGGAATTTGAGGAAGTGTACGAATTCATCTATGTCCGCTTGTTTGTTCGCCTTCAGCCACTGGACACCGTTAGCTCTGAATTTTTGCTTAGTCATCGATCTCGGTAGGGGGGGAATGCTCTCGAATTTCTCTATGAACCCTAAACACTTGTTTATCGCGTCTTCTTTATCTTTGGCCGTTTCGTCTATAAGCCCAACCTATAAAGAAAAAAAAAACATGTGATGTTAGTTGAAAACAGTGGAATTTAATACCACATTAGATGTAATGTCCATTTTTTGTTGTATAAAATTAAACTCAAGGCAGACAATGGCCCATAAAATTAATATAAATAAGTGTTATATAGTAGAATTGAGTACTCAAAAATCACATTGAGGTCGTTAAAATTTCAATAAAATATGTATTACAGTGAAACCTGGATAAGTAGGACCTGAATAAATGAGAAAGCTCTATTTTGAGTTACTATGAGGTCTCTCTTTTTCATTAAACCTTTGTTAATTAAGTAACTTTTTAAACCTGGTTAAATGTGATTTGAATTTACTCTAAGAGTTCAAAAACTGGACTATTGGAAACCCTCAATAATTGGTACATATGTCTTGGTCTCTTAACATCCCAATTAACCAGTTTTCACGCTATATAAACCTACCTTTAAGGCTTCTTCTACAGAAAATAGTTTTCCTGTGGTCAGGGCGATTTCAGCCTCCCTCTGAGAAATAGTGTTAAGCATACAGTCCATAAACCATCTTGGTGCGACGATTCCTAAAGCAGTCTCATTTAAACCAATGCTATATTTTCCACTGACCATCGCTCTGTATTCACACGACATTGCCAAAAGGCAGCCACCAGCTGGTGCATGACCCTGGAAGGGAAAAATCATTACAATCACATTTTGTAAGAGTAAAGCTTTTTTGTTGTTTTATACATTTGTTCTAAATTGTTCTTATGATAGAAAAAAAGCAGTCTAACATGATGTGGAAAAGTGGGTTAACATTGCATGGATCTCTTTTTTTCATAATATTTTTATGGTAATCCACCATAGGAAGGAGTATTAAATACCTCTCTTTCACCATTAGTTGCCCATATTAACAGACTGCCGCTTTAAAACTTGTTGAAGCTGACATTTAGCTAAGCAGAACTTATTCCCATTTACAATACTTACATTAATAGCAGCAGCGGTAATAAGGTTAGACTCAAATAGTTTTAACCAAACATCTTGAAGTGTAGACCAAAACTGTTCTGCTCGCTTCAAGTCTGGCTTGTACATTTCCATTATGTCTAGCCCAGCTGAAAACACTGTAGGTGAGGCCTGAAATAAAATAAATATAGCCAGTCAAACACCTTGACTTCATATCTGGATTAGGAGGGTACAAATTCTGGTGCAAAAATTGTTTGATAAGCTTGCTCTTACATAAAATTGATCAATGAAATATATAGACTGATGTGTTTTTCTTATGTTATCAGAGGAAATCCAGGATTCGATTCTAATTATTAAAAGACTAAAAAATGTTCACATACAAAGAAAAGTTAACTGCTGTTTATATCTATTTCTGATAAGGCTTCATATTTTCAGAATCTTGCATTATTTGGTCAACTTTGATGGGTGTCTCTCCTCCTTGGTGAATTTGGTCTATAACAGGTAGATACTTACAGATGTCAAAACCATAGCTCTAAAGTCACTGGTTGAAAGTTCATCAAGGGTTTTGCTCAGTGCTTGCAACAATTCCAGATTTAAGCTGTTTACGGGGGGTCTCTGCATTGTCACAATCGCAATTTCATCATTATCCTTATCCGGAGTTACAGTCACCAGATTCTGGCTTGACATTAACCTGATATTGGGTTTCACTTGTGTTATACATCTTAGTGCTTGCCGTAGACTCATCATTTTGATAGCTAAAATTTGAAAAGTTATTATAATATAGAAATGTTGAAGGTCAAAAATGTATATATAATTAGGATAACAATTAACAATTAAGTTTTTATTTATTCCATTGCTTAATAAACTTTTAAATCACCAATTAGTCTGATATAGTCCTTGGAAATAAAAATTAATTGTTTTAAATATACCAATTATAATTTCTTTTTTTTTAATTTATAAATTTAATAACGTTTGGCTAAAGTAAATAATGGTAATGTTGAATATTACGAAAAATAATAATTAATTACATTTTCTTTAATGATCCAATTTCTTGTTTGAATCTATTAAAGAACTGATTTAATAACTACAAAATAAGTAAGTAAGAAAGATGCTAGTTTACAATGAATACTACAAATAACAAATAATTTGCTAACAGGTCCTTATCTAAGTCAATTTAATCACTATACTGATTCTTTGAACATTGGATTTTGGAACTATGGCAAAAGATTAGTAGAGTTCGCTATATGTATATAAAGATACTATGCAAACAATAACAATCAAGATAAAGGTTATATCTTTATAATTCAAAATCAACTACATACTAAAAAATTTGCTTCAACACTAGAATGGTGAAGTAAAAACAACTTATCAATTACGGAAATAGACTCACTAAAAATAATTAATTATTGATTTTTTAAAAGCCAGAGCAGAACAAACAAGCAAGAGATCTATGATGGGGGCAAATTTGCAAAATCTCAGTCTTAGAATCAGTGGATCAGTCTATTTTGGCTTTAGATTTTTTTTAATCTACAGACTGTAACCGAAACACTATATATTTTGTGGCTTTTTCATTAGCGACCGTGTGGCGGTGGCTAATGAAAAAACCACCAGGTTCAGGCCAGGTTTTCATGATGACATGTGTTAAAAGAATCCAAAATGAATATCAAAACTTGGTAAAAATGGAAACAGCTTTTGCCTGTTTACAACATGAACTTAATGTGTGAAACCCCATTTACTCTGAAAATTTTGTTTGTTTGTTTGTGTTCTGTATATAACAGTTTATGGGTGAATAAAAATAAATAGATGAGGTTAAAACCCGCGGACAAACATTTGTAGGAACTTCTCCTAAACACAGCAAATTAAAACATCAAATTCACTATGTAAGATTTGTTTAAATAGTCAATATGATAATATTTTGATTTATTATTATTTTTTGTATAAGTAGGTATACGATGTTATTATTTTATTATATTATTAGTATGTATACTACTTGTATACTTATACAAAGTTATAAAAAGCTAACACGATAAATACGTTGAATGGATAAAATATTATATATTTTTTTAAAACACTAAATAACACACATTAAAAAGAAAAAGTAATAAAAAATAGCTATATTTTTCATGATAAGCAACGAGTTATGTTAAGAACAGTTATTGTTGTATATGCTATACAAAAATACGTTTTGTTTTTTACCTCTTTAAAAAAATTACGTACATTTAGAATAAGCGAAAGAACTTTTAATACGAACCTTAGTTATTACCACCTCGTGTTTATCCAAAGGAAATTGAACAAGAATTGAACTTTGTACCACTTGAACTTTGTTTTTAAAGTCTATTAAAGTTTCGCCAGACTGTAGACTGTAGAGCGTAAAGACTATGCTACAGAGGCAGAGCGATTAGGGACTGACAGTTGACACACGAGTCGTAGGCTACGATTAATTTCATGTAGCCACTTTTTGGCTTAAAGGTCTTGTTACCAGGCCATTAAATATTTAAAAAAATGTAGCCACCTGGGGGCCTAGACTGTTATTTGCAAGATAGACAGTCAGTTGCAAAATGTATTGATACTTGGCCTAGATTTAAATATTTTATTTTTATTCAAAATTAACAATTAAGAAGATGGAGCGATTATGCAGTTATAAGCTATTTATACAAATGTAAATATGCTATTCATTTTATTTGTAATAGTTTTTAAATAAAAACATATTTTAATTAGGACAGCATTAATAGCTCACAATAAAGAAGTTATTCGTATCTTTCGTTTATCCCAGTAACGAAAATAAATGGCAGTATTAGTTTTCTCTACGAGTGTACATGCGCCAAAGTTCGTCTAACCTATGTTCAGACTTGCCAAGTTACGTCGGCCGTATTATATCTTGCAACATTATAGAACTGTCAAATATGTTTTTACATTTGTGAAATTTGTCATATGTCGTTTTGTCAATTGAGAATCAGATGTTATTTAAGTTTACTAATGAATGATTAAATCATAGAATTTAATTTAAGTTGGAGTAACGTATCAGTAAGACATTTAACTTAATTCCGGGTATGTATATTACGGTATGCTTATTTCAGTCCACACATGTAACAATTTTGTTTATGTCGGTAAATTTATAAGTAAACTCCATTTAATTGTTTATTTCGAAAAGATTTTTTGAAAACACGACCAACCTTGCTGTTTGATAAATTAAGGCACCGTTCCAACTTCTCTGTCAATAGTTACAAATTATACGTTATTTACTTATTCGCTTCACAATGATTTAAATCTTGGTAAATTTTCCAGAATATGCTGTAGAAAGGGAATAATATGTCTTTAGAACAAACAGCATGTGATGGTGAGTTTTATTATATAGAGAATGGAATACATATAAAAGTCTGGGTCTAGATGGTAAAACCCACCAGTATCAGGCAATCAGACATAAATAATTATCTACTAGAAATAGGGGTATTGATACACTAACTACAAATGAGAAATCCTAAAGCAATGTAATTTTTTTCCTTTTTGTTACATTGAAAAACAAATTGTAATAAAAACATTATAAATGATAATCTACCAAATCTTTAAGGCTCACTAAATATCACTTATAACTATTTAAGGTAAATTAAAATAGGCTAGTATTATTATCTCCTTATATCTTGCAAAAATTTATATGGTTATTAGAATTATTTGTTTGTGTTGCATAGCAATAATGAAATGTTAAAATTCTAATATTTGCAAGCCATTCTTACAGACCTGAAGGCTTTTGAGAGGCGCCTAACTGAAGTAATAGCTTGTTTACAACCAGCAACAACAAGATGGAGAAGTAAGGAAGTTTATCCTGTTATTTAATATAGTCAGACCCTGATTATCGAGACTAAGGGGTCCTCTGCATATGATATTATCTAGTGGTGCCCATTCCTTATTTATATACTCTTTTGTTTCAGTCGTTTTAGCAGCGGTTTCATTATGTACAGCTATAGCTGCTTGGCACTGGTTGACTGATCCCCTAACACCAGTTGTGTCCCTCACACAGTCACTATGGAATCATCCCTTTTTTGCGGTCACATCCACATTGTTAGGTTTGTCTTATAGTTGCATCCAAAATACACTACTTTTTGTGAAGAAATAATTTCTAAGGGTTTGTTGGTAAAACAAGGACATATACACAAAGAACAATGGCCAAAATTACCGACCAAAATTTAAAAAATGATACAAAATGTCAACCGATAGCGGGTCGATGACGAATTGTTCCGTTATACGCAAATACTAATCAAAATACTTCTTGCTGCTCTTTATATAAAGAGCAAAAAACAATAAATAAATATATGTCATCATTGTATATCGGACGTTATTAACGTTATCTCACGACAAATTCGATGAGCGAACTCTTAACGATACTTTCTGAAAAAAAGAAATCTATTTTTTTTTATTTCTTAGAATAAAAGAAACATTCACGAGTACGTTTTGGCCATTGATCTTAATTTTATTACACAATTGAACTCCTAACTTCACAAATGAGACGTAAGTGCTAGACCTAGACTAGACCAGGGATGGGCAAACTACGGCCCGTCAGAGGTTCCGCAAAAAATGTTAACATCAAAAATTCAAAGGATACCATATTATTTTGAACTTAAAATATTTTATCTACACTTAAAACATAGAAATCTCGTACTTTTTATAACAATACTGCTAAGGTGACAATTTTTTTTATATGAAAAAGTATAGAAGTATTAATGATATTAATTGATCAGTCAACGGCAGTATTTTCTTTTAATTTACCGGCCCGCTTAAAAAAAAAGTGCCCGCCGCTGGACTAGACTGACACTGCTCGAATTGAACTGTCATGTTTGTGATATTATTTTTAAAGTTTTGTAATGTTGCTAATTATTATATATTTCCTGTTTCCAGTGTTACTCTTCATGATGGGAGTGCACAGAAGAGTGATAGCTCCCAGCATCATCACAGCTCGTACGCGTTCTGTGCTCAATGACTTCAACATGTCGTGCGATGAAACAGGAAAATTAATCCTCAAACCGCGACCAGCGAACAACATGAGTTGTCTTAGTCACTAGCGATATCACTTAAGTTAATGTTTTCTATAAGGTTGCAATAAAACAATTTAGTGTAAGATACTATGTTTATTATTTATAACTTTGGTGTTTTTATTATACAATAAATAGTTAAAAACTTAAGTGATAACTTATGAAACATTTGAGAAGCGGAAGATTTTACTAAATATTTCACTATAACAAAGGTCAATAGAGAATAATCATTATTTATGACAATAATTAAAAATATATATCATTTGCAATTCAATACCGCAAAATATCACAAGTTTAATATAGTTAAGTAAATATAAATTACGATAGTGCACTTCATATAGACAATATTAAGTAGAGTTAACAGAGTAACTAGATATATAATTCCAATTGTTTTAATAAATTTATCTCGTTCAAATACTCAAATCAAAATGTGTGTACACAACATTAATTATAATAATTATTCATTTAACAACTAGAAATAGTTATTTTGAGATGAGTATTCGGCGTGTCGCGGTTAAACATAATAAATGCATTCTATACAATTTCAATCTACAGAGCTTTTAGGAACATCCCTAGAGCATATTGGATGCCAACATTTTACGATAACGACGATTCTAGTTTAAATTACGTTTTATCTAAATCTGTGTTAGGAAAATCCTCAAAAATACAATATTATCAATTGGGCAGTGACGATCTCTCATTTGATACATATGATTTTAAATGGGCCAAACCCAATGGATGCACGACATTTGTTGTCAAAAACTTTCCTCTCGTATGGGTCTTACATACGGCACCCACTGTTTGGTCCCAGGGACTACGCACATAATAGGGACATATTACCAAGATACTTGTTAATTCCGTTGTTCATAAACGAAGCCAAAACAGTGTTCTCATCTACATTGAGATACCTCTGTCCTAGTTTACGTACATCAGAAGTGGGACTACTATTAAGAATGCATGTGCTATTTGTGCAATAAATACAGCTAAACGACCTAACATACTCAAATACATTTCGCTAGAGAACTATAAATGCCTTATCCGAAATATGGAGTGTTATTAACTGAGTAAATTCGATAAATTAATGTTTTGCATGTCACTGGATTGTGCGCAGTATTTTCAAATGGAAGACTAGATTAAATACATTGAAATAATTATTTGAATCATGTGAGGGTTAGGATGAACGAAGTGGGTTGTTCGCGGTCATAAATACTATTTATTATGATTTTATAGAAGGGGGAGGGGGGAACATCTGTTATCCCTTACTTTTAAATGTCTGTAATGAAGAACCTGAGAAGTAAACTTCTCAAATTTAATATATGGACAGTCTATGTCAAGGGAACTAATACGATTATTTCTTTTAGGACACCGATTAAAGGCCCAGTCCACATAGAGGATTTTTTTCTCAAAACTAGTTTTAATAAAAATAATACTTTTGACCAGATAATTAAATTGAGCTAGCACAGCTTACATTATCTTAATGAATATCACGTAAAGTATTTAGAAGTGTTAAGCTTTCCAAACAACTCGAAACATTTAAAATAGTTTTGTAACATTGAGGCAGTGGACATTATATTAATCTAAGTATGGGCAGAAGCTTTCTACAGATCTGAAATGTATATAAAATAAGATTTTTAATATAAATGTGTAATAGCGGAATCGTTAGATTATTTAATATGCATAAACATACAACAGATTCTATACTTGAAATATCACTATATATTAAGTCGATATCAATGTTATGTTTATAACAAACTATCAAAAGTTGTTTGTTTACGCTTCCTATGACTCGTATTATAGTCATAATTCGTTGGGTTACCAAAAATATCTCTGAAAGTTCTTATTTATACACTTATTAGTACGCTATAGTCCAGTTTAATTAGTATAAAGTAGACAAGGATTATTGAAAATCTCGAAAAATCCGTCATATGTGCGGGTGACCCATATAAAATTTTCGCCATATATTGCACAATATTTGTGGTAACCAATACAAGATATTCTTAAATCTACTTATAATACTTTTTTCCTAAATTCCAATAAAATTTCGCATCTTACGCCTAACAGTTTGCAACTATAGGTAATGTAAATTCTGTTAGTTGTGACAAAGTATAACCTTGCATTCAAAGTGGGGAAGGGAACGATTTCTCAAAAAATATATTTTTGCTTTTGAAGCTTAATCCTAGAATGGTTACTAGTGTGTCTGTACATGTAGTAATGTTTTATAAGCAGCAATTTATTTAAGGCGAAAAATACTTGTCATCTGTGTATAACAAATAATAGGACACGTATCCAGGTCGGTATTGTTTTATCTGTGTTTCACAGATTACACACACCATCAGTGTATTTTACAGACGTATTTGAAGCCAGAATATTCTAACTTTGAATACAAATCTATATATTCCCTAAATTCGGTTGAAACGTGATCTCTAATAAAATTAAAAGGAACTTAGCAATCACTGAATTGTCCAAAAATATAAATGTTTTAGCATTAGAAAAAGTTTGTTATAAGAATTAAAGCTACATCGACCGACCTCTTTATGTCCCATTAAGAGGAAAGAATTTTTAATATGTTATTTACATAATAAAGGCTATGGACACGTGTATGCCTGTATTATTAAAGCGAAATTTCTAAACCTGGGATAGGTTTGTGACGCAGACACGAGCGACATTAAAGCTATATTTTGTTAATACCTTAATACGCAAGCGAAGGTTAATATGGTGAAATTCGACGATGATGTGTAGGGCACGGTAGCTCAATTGGTTAGAACACGGAACGCTATGAATGCCGGTTCAAGCCCTGGTCGTGTCGTAAATATTTTCAATTAATGACCGATTTTTAATGTATACAGATTTAGTTAGTCGACCGATCGTCCTCTCGAATTGGAAAGATCATTAAAACATACCAAACGTCAGTATCTTTGTCGCAATATTGATTAAAAAGTTACGACTTTTGTATACTCTGTTCTTTCCTCTTAAATAAGGGAAAATATTAACAATTAATTAATAAATCAACTATCACCTAATGTATCGTATCGCAACTGAAATGCCAACGAGAAATCCCCATGAATTATTGTCACATCATTCCCCACAACAGCATGCAAGGCTGGAATGCTGTCCTCACGCCGCCAACAGTGCCCGGATGTTTCTGGGTGTCGTTTGGCTGTTCAGGTGTTTGGTTGTATATCTTAGGGCGTTGAGTAAGGGCTCCGCTTTCGGCGGCGGTTGCTGTTGGAGGAATTTGACGCAGCCCTTGACGTCCACGGATGAGGAGCGGCAGAATGCCCCTGATGGATGCACCCAGTCGTACAGGATGATGAGACCCACCATTACGCGTAGAACGAGCAACGAGGTCTCTTCGCGGCTAAATTGGGCCACCAGTTTTCTGAAAAAAGAAGCACTAGTCAGTATTGTACTTTTTGTTCGAGAAAAACATTTTACAGGCGAGATTTAAACACGATTAACACCAATAAAATTATTTGTATTTCCGAATATCCAAAGCCAAAATAAGTCGACAGGGCATCGTGTTATATGTGATATTGCTGGGTGGGGTATTTCGCATTCCATCAGGTGAAAGAAATACTTGTCCGCGGTTCTCCATCATAAAAAAAACTTGGCAAAACAAGCGAAAGACCTAAGATATTAGAGAGATGGAGAGAGTGTTTAAATTAAGTTTAAAATGAATTTTAAACTTTCTAAAACAAAAATATCTATCGATAAAAACATTGCATTAATACCGAGTTGGTTTGTTTATTATAATTATATATAGTTCTAGGAAAGCGAGCTATGTCGAAAATCTAGGAAACGGCCCGTACATTTTATGTACGTTCTAAATATGTTTAAACCAGGTTAACTATTTAAACAATTATATTGCAGTGCAGGAAAACTAGCCGTTCCACGTAGTTCAGTTCGTATTTATATAGAGATGGATAAAATTGCTACATCTTTACAAAGTTTATCCATTTTACAAACAAGAAAGTTTTTTACGACATAAAATCCTGTTTTCAAGAAGCTTTGCTATAAGTCCACTTAAGTTAAATTCGCTTTATCAGTAAAAGAATTACTTTGTTTAATGTAAGTGTGTAAGTTGTAACAACCTTCTTAAAATATACGTTATTAAAGGTTAGATTTACTATAGGTGAATTAGTTTAGCGTAAAAGAATTATCAAACATAACAACAAGAAGTGGTTTTAAATATATTTACAATCTTTCTTCAAACTGATAATTAGTTTGAAAATGAGATTTAAAAACCCCTAAAAATATGCATGTCATTTTTGGGTGAAATTAATGAAGTAAATACTGTCTATAGTTTACGCGAATAGTACACATTTAAATAAAGCACTTTAACGGTTTAAAACGCGACGTGGGGCCGAAGTTAAAAATCATTTTCAAATAAGTTAAACTAATATATCGCGTTTTAAACCGTTAAATTGCTTTATTTTAATTAATGAAGTACGTTCTTTAATTATTATTTGATGGGTTATTATTATTATTTAAGGTTTATTTAGTAGTAGTTATTAAGTTTGGCACTTCTTGAACATTGTCTAGTTTAGTTATTAAGATACTTTCAACTCGGGTTGCCTGAAAGAGATCGCTTATAGCGATAAGGCTGCCCAGTGCACTCTATAGTTTCATTGTGTGTGTACCAAAGTGTAAAATAAATAATTTTATTATAGTATTTATCGTTGTCTACTTTTACGACGAAGACCGCCTCTGTAGCTAAATGGTTAAGCGTGTTGCCTAGCATTGCGTTAAGCGCGAGGGGTCCTGGGTTCGAATCCCGGGGAAACAGTAAATTGTTTCAGTCGGGCAGGGCACAGAAGTCTGATCAACCACTTGCCTGTAAATAAATCAGTGAAACGGACACAGAAATATGTTCGCCGATATATTGTGAATATCTTTTATTAATCTGAAATACAATACAAAATTATGCGATCTTTGAATAGAACATTTTAAGGGTTTCAAACACGAATTATATGATGCAATCTGTCAAGTGTTGCCTGGTGCGGTTTTAAATCGTATTAAATTAACGTTGTAATTACGCCGGTGTATTGTAAAAACAAGTCTATTTGGATTTCTATGAATGTTTTGACAAAAACATGTATGTGGGCTTCAGAGGCGCTACACGTATTTTCATCATTTAACAATAGCTACAACCAGGTATTGTACGTCCTGCATGCATTGTAACTGCTAGTTATATTTCTAAGTAATTAAGCTAGCAAAAGCTTGTTTATAATTTTTTTATGATAGAGGAGGAGGGACACAGCATTCACTTCATGGTAGGTGATATACTCCAGCACATAGCATCTTAACAAGATTAAGCTTCACAGTTTTTTCATCTTTGGACGGTGGTTCGAGAGCGGGACGGAATTTTTATATTCCTACCACCCATTTAATTTACAGATATCCAGACTGGCAGGGAGGACTGCTGGCACGAACCGTTGATCATTAGCCATACATTGTTACCATTAGATTAGAAGAACGAACCCACCACCTAAAGACCTGGTCAGGGGACTTTAATAACTACCTCTAATAAATTAGTGGTGATAGCTGGGATTGACAGCTTATGTTATTCTCTGAGGACGGATACTAGAATTGTTTATAAGAAGTTCTAAATACCAAACCGAAATTTCGGCAGGTTTTGAACTTGGAACCTCACGGTCTAAGAGTAATATGTATTAAGCACGAATTTTTAAGCGCTGGAGTGGAACTGTAAATACATATTATGTATGTATGTTCTCCGCCAAAGACAAGCAATGTTATTCTGTATAATGGAACAATTTTACTATATCAATATAACCCCTAGCTGTGTCAGCGACTTCATCCGCCTAGAATAGTTATTTTGGGCATTTAAATTTGTTATTGCTGATCTTTGAAAATTTAAGCTGTTATCCTGGGGGGGGTCTTTGTTTTGCTTATTTTTGATGACATGGGGGGTAGGGGAGTCCAGATGATGATTACGTCATCGATATTTATTTACTTTCTGAATCAACTCACTTTCTTATTTTTAAAATTATACTTATAATATAAAAAATACATTTTTAATTGAAAAATGTTTACGTAAGCACGGGGGAGGGGGTGAAAGCTTTGCTTACTTTTGCTGACAAGGGGGATGGGGGGGTAAATAATTGTAATCAATCTGCTTACGTAATACTTGAACGGCCCCTATATACATATACCACATTTAAATCAGTTCAGTAGAGTTGGAGTAAAATCCGGACAGACAGACAGAGTTACTTTCGCATTTATAATATTAGTATAGATAGATTACTCTGCATTTTTACTTCACCGTAGCGCGATTTATTATGAGTAAACCTATAAGACAACATTTAACACATGCTGTGTTACCAGTGACCAATAACGAACTATTTTAATTACTTGCGATCCCAAAAGGTTGCCCAAGCCTATTATTTTAAGTATGTCTAGCTATATACGGCTGAAACTCTATAACATCAATTAACCAATGTTATTAGCATGCAAGGTGCGCGGTCTTATTGTCACTTTCAATGGCGTGAACCACCTACCAACTTGAATAAACTGCAAGCGATTCTAGCTTTTCGGACCTTTACACATGTGCTATATTAGTGTGATTGGATAACGAATTCAAAGTGGGTTCCTGTATCTCCCGAATACCATATGACAAGGATGTAACGTCACTTGCCAAGTGAATATTACGCTTTGTTATTTAGATTGGTTTTGATATATCGCAATTAAAGGTGCTTATAGCGGATGTATAATGAGGTCCTGGTGGAAAATATGTGGTGAAAGGCCATGGGTGATATCCATATTGATTAGCAGAACGCAAAAATAATTAACCCTTACTTTTATGAACGGATATATTTTACATGTAGGCAAGTGCATAATATGGTAGGTTATAAAATTTGAATTCAACTTGAGATTGAAATTTTGAAAACCTGAATACTGTCTGTAGTTCACGCGAGTAGTACACATTTAAATAAAACACTTTAACGGTTTAAAACGCGATATATTAGTTATATTAGTTGGCTTTGCAGCAGCCGTGGTCTCTCTCCCCGTGACCACGGCTGCTTGCAAAGCATCCGAAACGTCGGGCCGAAGTTAAAAATCATTTTCAAATAAGTTTAACTAATATATCGCGTTTGAAACCGTTAAAGTGTACTACTCGCGTAAACTATAGACAGTATCGTATTAGCTTATACTGTAGGTAAACATAGGTAGAAGATAAAACGCGAAATATACTAGTTACACTTTTTGAAAATTATTTTAACAACGGCCTGACGTTTCGGATGCCATGCAGCCGCCGTGGTCACGCGGAGACACGGGTGTCTAATATATTTCGCATTTTAAGCCGTTTAAAGTGTTTTATTTAAATCCGAGCTCGCCTAACCTTAAACCGCAACGCTCTGTGCTGTTCACTACCAATTGAGCTATTGACGCTGTGGTTTTGGGTTCCAGTTATCAATGTCGTCTAATTTTTCATATACATTTTTATAGTTAAAATATAACCAAGATATCGGTTTACACTAATAAAAAATACTCTAATAAAAGGCTATTTATTAATGTTATACAAAAAAGGGATTACAGTTTTCACTCGTGAAGAATGCTGTAGTTTTAGGCCTATAAGCTTTATTAAGCATATCACTATACAATATTGCTCGTGGCGGCTAGTAGATAAACATCGCTTGAAACTCGGGCACCGGATTATAATCACTTTGATTAATTAATTTGACATAACACTTACCTAATTAGGGGCGGTAAATATTTGAGGAAGGGTTGGGGTTTGTCAAATTGATCGGTTGATAAGGAAAACGCACAATTCAAATTTTATAAATTTGTTGTTGTTTATAAGATGTATATTTTTAAAGATAGCCAGGCCACTAATACTAACAGCAGGCCGATTTTACTAATTAATTGACATTTCGATCAAGTTGCAGTCACGCTGCGATTAGGTTTGGATTCAGCGCCGATGGTATTCCCTTAATTTAACAACTGCGCATCCAATAAGGTACGCCAGCTAATTGTCAAATACACTCTGGCGTGATGTAAACTTGACGCGAACGTGTTTGACGTTAGACGAGAATACCACGACACATACGAGAATCGGCTTGCAGGACGTTTAAAAGCTTTACAAATATTCGTTTTAAGAAGTCACTCTGCTCGTAAATGTTATTGCGCGTGAACTCGAGAGGAAAGCTTGAAGTAAAGGACGAATTTGCAAAAATAAAATCATAATGGAATTTGTTAAGTATAATAGTTTGCGAGTTACTTAAAATATTTATTTCGACGGTACTGGTAGAAAAGTTTGTACTGGCCATTGAAAAATTATATTAGTGAAAAGCACACATAATGGCACCTGTTCAGTACAGTGAGAGATTTCATTAATATAAGTAAAAGTTCGCCCCCCCGAATGATTATATCTATAATTATCGCGTTTAATGTAAAGCAATAAATATTGCAATTTACATCTGTTACATTCGTAGCAATGTATGGCTAGTAATCAGCGGGTCGTGGATTTGACAAAATTTTTTATAATAAATGTATAATATTTCTGAAAGATGTTTGGCTTCATCTAAGAATCTATTAAATGGGTGGAAGAAATATCGAAATTCCGTCCGTCTGTTGATTTCCACCATCCACAGATGAAGAAGCCGCGAAGTATAATCGAGTGTCAGTCTGTGGAATTCCGAATATCCAAAACCAAAATAGGTCGACGAAATAGGCGTATTAGCCTACCTTCAAGTGAACTTCACGTCTGTACTCCCCTATCATAAAAAAATAACACTATATCTTATATGTATCTTCATTAGTATATTCAATGCCATTTGCTTTACAAAAATAATATCTTCCGACTTTCAATCACACTTCACAAAAAGCACCTTTTGATTCGAGGCTTGTTTTTACTTATTCTCCAAGATTTGGGTCACTCTAAGTTATGGCGAATAAAAGAAACGAAATGACCCATTTATTGTGAGACAAGTCGTTCTGAATATTCAAAGGAATTTTTGAATACCTTTGAAATTGTTACCTCTCCTTTTGTAAATAGAATATTCTATGTATGAATGTTTTTTGAATTAAATTTATCCATCTACCCTTCGATATAGGTTGCAAAGTGGCAATGATTATATTTAATAAAATGATTTATATTTTAATAGGTGAATACTATCTATAGTTTACGCGAGTAGTACTCACTTAAATAAAACACTCTAACGGTTTAAAACGCGATATAGATTAGTTAAACTTATTTGTAAATTATTTTTAACTACGGCCCGACGTTTCGGATGCATTGCCGCAGCCGTGGTCACGGGGAGACACGTAATTAAAGTTAATTTTCAAATAAGTTTAACTAATCTATATCGCGTTTTAAACGGTTAAAGTGTTTTATTTAAATGAACAGACGAAATTCAAACTCACGAACGAGCTATACCTACCAACTGAGCTACTGTGTCAAAAGCTTTAGTTAATCGAAGCATAGAATTGTTATCTATGTACATCTAACATGGTGTCAACGATGTCTTTAATGATTTCAAAATAATTTTACAAGTAATAAATTGCAAAATAGGTTCTGTTAACTTGTTAACCGTCATATATGCATTATCGTGTGATATAATTAACTTTAAGCAATTTACAATTAAATATTGAAGAAGTATTATGTAAAATATATTTCAGAGTTTCCAATTTAATTTTAAAAATGCGATACAAATAATTTTTTCTAGGTTCACTTGAGACTTATTGTCCACATAAAAGACATCTATTTTTACATGTGTACCACACATAAAAAGGCCTAATAAATTTATCACCATCGCGCATAAGCGGCTTCATCAAATCATCGGCTCCCTAATATATTTCGCGCTTAGAACCGTTTAAAGTGTTTTATTTAAAAGGAGCATGCAAAGGAGAGCAATCCTTTCGCACTCGCGTAATAAAAGCTTTCAATTGTGAGACAGGTCGTGGTCATTACGTTATTGGCACAAGGGCATATTTATTGTAATACACGGTATCGCGTTTCCACCACATTCGTCTCCAGCCAATATCATGTATGTGATGACAAATGCTTCGAGTATCGATTACCTTCGCAGTGTTCTCGTTAGCCTTTTGTTTTTTTATTGATGGCATTGTAACGAGTGAAAGACCTCAAAATCCATATTAAGATGACTGACTCAAATCTTGAAGAGTAAGTAAAACGAAGCCTTGAATCGAAATATGTACTTTAAGCGATTGTAAGTCGAGGAGTTCTGAGGCTTTGTATAAGAACTGACATTGAAAATATCCTCTGAAAACCAGCGCGCCTGCGTGTGACTAGCATTCATCAGCACAGCTGAGACTGTACTCAATTGCCATTTCTTATCTATTTAATAATTATCAATTATTGTTTTTTGAAGTTATAATTTTACTGTAACTGCGTTAAATGGTATTAAGCAATTTCAAATTCCATGTATTTTTAGACACTCCTATCCAGATAGTGAATCTAATACTTATATGTGCGTTTCGCGGTATTTTTTCGGGCAAGAAGTTGATCAGATTTTTCATTTAAATAAAACACTTTAACGGTTTAAAAAGCGATATATTAGTTAAAATTTTTTGAAAAAGATTTTTCCCTTCGCCCCCGCGTAAGGGGATTTTTCACAAGGGGGGGGGGGGGGGGGCAGATTTTTGATACGAAACACTTGAAAACTAATGACTATATTTACATTTACTACCAGTTTCTGAAGCAAGGGCGTAGAACGAGAAGGACTGGCAAGAAACTCGCCGCCACTCCTTTTATCTACAAGTTTCATTTGACAATATTCACGGACGTGATGTGCAGCATATTTTTTTCTTTTTTAGAGCGGATTCCTACTAACCCGAAGCATTTTTGTCGTTTAAATATTGATAAATGTCATATACAAACTATGAAAATGGTTATTAAACCATTTTCATAGTGCTTGCACGTCACTTAGGATTTTATTAAATACTTAGAATTATTACTTTTATAAAATCTTACCGGTATATTTATTTTATCCTTATTACGTGTGTATTGTATTGATGAAAACTGCTGTTTGTTTTAAAAGTAATCCTACATTTTTATAACAATATAGACTTGCTAATGTTAGCATAGATTTAGAATATAATTAAAATAGGGACACCCCTATTAACGTAACTATCAACTGGTACCTATTTGTGCTGAAAATACTCACGGGTTTTCCAGCATCCTCAAGCAGACTTTAGCCATCGTGCTCAATGTTTCTGTGGTGTTCTCGAGGTCTTGTTGGTTGTCGTTGACGAACTGGCTCGTGGCTTCTGACAGGACCTTCAGCATCGGTGTCGCTTGGGCGTAGAAGAGGGACATTCGATTGGCTACCTCTGCACCTATATGGGGCTCTTCGCCGGGGGGAAGATCTGCGTTTATAAGACCTCCTCTGGATACGATGCGTCTGTAGTAACTAAAGTCGTTCTGGATAGCCGGTGTCTTCATCTGGAAGAGATAATTGGGTTTTATAGTTTGTTTGCGACAAAAATAGCAAGAATTTTTTATTCAGGAACATCCCAATAAATTTATATAAATTACATTACATAAAATATACAATTGATTTGACAAGAATAGAATGAAATATTGTCTATAGTTTACGCGAGCAGTACACATTTAAATAAAAAACTTTAACGGTTTAAAACGCGATATAAGTTTAACTTATTTGAAAATGATTTTTAACTTCGGCCCGACGTTTCGGATGCTTTACAGCAGCCATGGTCACGGGGAGACGTCGACGCGTTTTAAACCGTTAAAGTGTTTTTCAAATTCAAAGTATTAATCAAAACAACGACTAAGGTGGCTAAAGGAATAAGGAAATTTAAAAGAGTATGAAATAAACGCAGAAACTATAAAACTCGAAGTGAATGATTTTTTCATGTTTTATATAAATATTATATTATACTGCCATTTTGTAGACAAGGCATCAAATAAAAACAAGTAACAACATTAACTTGTTCAAATTGAACATAATATGTAGGTCACTGTCCTATTCTTACACCGTCATAGAGAGCCTGGTTTAAAGTGTATCAATCTTTATTTTCTTTGCAACAGAATGTATGCTCCTCCGCGGCGTTTTTGTACAACAAACTCTAACCGTATAAAAATGTTTCAAGATAACTTTGCTAAACAGAATTAACTCGTCAACAGTTAATAAGCGAACCAAGAACGATATAACAACAAACATCTCCAGTTTAACACGAAACATGCAAATTATTTCTTTCATTCATCTCATATAATAATGTCAATAAACAAAGGCACGGAGCATGACTCACATTTATTCCGGCGAGGTCAGTACGAGCCCACTTTCTACGATATTCAATTTATTTGAATCGATCGATGCCTTATTTGTCTGATAGGCAATGAGTAATGAATTGTTTCTCGTTATTTTGTAATAGTCCTTTCGAAATTGGAAATCCATACTACTAGTATATAAATATACATACATGAAAATTGGTTTGTCCGTATGACAAAAACTTTTGGCATGTAAAAAAATAATTAAGTAATTATCATTAAAATGCGATTATACATTGAAAACCGTTACGATTCGGGCAGGACTTGAACCGGCATCCTCAACGTTCCGTGCTGTTGCTCTAACCAATTGAGCTACCGAGTCCTACAAGTCATCGTCGATTTTTTTTTGCAATCATAGAGAATAGTACGGACAACGTTAGGTACTTAAAAAGGCAATATTGATTGTTTTTTTTAACAAAAAAAAAAGAATGTTTGTAGATTACAGGCAGAGTCATATTAGAGTTCCAAAAAACATGTTTTATCTTAAATTCTAGTAATAGCACTGAATATAATATCCAAATACGTGCCCTGTGAGACATTTTTAGAAGGACAGGAAAGCTCACTTGGTGTAAGAATATCTCACAGCCCTATAACGTTGCTTAAATTTGCTTTTGGATATTCAACGGGCTGGTTGGTGTAATGGTAGCAACGAACTCCTAATAAACAACGTATCGTGGGATCCGACCCCACTAATCTTTTTTTTTTATCAATCTATAATTAGTATATTGGTGTATCGTATCGTAGTCACGAACCACCCTGCACGGATGAAAAGGTCGTGAAGTGTAATCGCGTTACGGTATCGGTCTGGGGATTGCCGAAAATACAAAGTCAAAATAGGTCAAGAGCACATCTTGTTTAGATGTTAGTAATAACAAATCCAAAACCACAGACCGAAGCCGAAACATTTCAGTGTTTACCATTAATATTACAATGTAATTTGAAGAATATGGCGATATTGATTACATTTTGCGATACGCTAGCGAGATACGTGTTTTATTCTGTCTAAAGGAAGTCGTATAAAATATAAAGCGCAATTTCTATTAAATTATTGGCCGTAAAGTGCATAATGGCTACAAACGTCAGCGAGAACGGCGCAAGGTTGGGGTCAAAAGGGCCCACAATTGTTAAATATATCAATTTGATTACAATTGTCACTTTGTTTGGTTGGTTAACATTGAAGGCATTTATTGTTCGCGATAAAATCTTATTATACTGTTATATCGGACTCCTAGATTATATTTTGTGTAAGGCTTTTGCGGCCATTTTGCAAAGCTATTTAGCTCAAAAATTTCATTAGATTTTTGAATATAAAAATCTGATATAACCTGATAAACTTGTTTGATAAATGACCCAGTATATATTTTTTATGATATAGAAAAGAAAAGCATGAGCAAGTAGGCTTCACTGAATGAGGTGGAAGGTGAAATGCCATAGCCATATAACATCTAAACAAGATGTGTTATCGACCTATTTGGGCTTTGGATATTCGGAATTTTTCATACAAATTTCAATGCGGTTCAGGTGGGAACCCAATTCAACACAGAACAAACAGCAGAATAACATAGATAATACATTACATTGTATTAAAGCCACAATAACAAGTCGTTATATATTCGAACGAAATGCATAGGCATGCTATTGATGACTCGCTTCCTATAAACAACGCAGCGTTAGCCGTCACCCGTGTTTATTGAATATTTCCACTCACACGATTATTATCTTACAATCGAATGCGTATACACTCATAGGTAAATGTCACTGAAAGGGGACATATTGCGATGTCCGTTTTATATTTTCACCCCTGCTTTTGCCAGTCTATGGACTCCTTTAGATAATCTTCAATCGCATTGTTCTTTGACAAAGGACGACAGACAAACTTCACTTGTTGGAAGGTGAAATTCAGCAGTCATCTAGACAAGATGTGTCTTCAAACAAGCTAAAATAGGGTTTAAAAATTCACATACTAAAACCAAATCAAACTTCACGACATTTTTATCTGTGGACGGTGGCGTGTGACGTGATATCGACGGAATTTTGATAAGCTTAACATCTATTTGATTTCTAGATAATGCAAACGAAGTTACATGTTCGACTTGGTGAGGAACAAACCTACGACCCGAGACCACGACAAAAAACACGCTAACTGTCTCTTGGGGATCCTATACAACAATCGTGATTTATAGCTCGTTTTTTACAATTAACGGAATCCTTCATGCGCGAATACGGTTCGTACTTGGCCCGTGTGTTGAGCAAGCTTTTTCAGCGGTAGGGTACGCCGCAAACTCCTATTTATAAATAGTAATTATAAAAAAATAACATACCATGTTTTTAATATTTATCTTTTATAATGATATATGGATATATGACTCAGACTAGTTGCTGCTAAATGCTAAGACATTCTAACAGGTGTTTATGACTTATTTGTTACAAATGCCTTAGTCAATGATTTTATTAACCTATAGTCTTCTATAAATGGTCTAGGAAATCCTATGGTTTTAATTAAAAAGCGGCGAAACACTCGCTAACAATGTGGTGTTAGTGAGTGACGGCGAGTGTTTAGCCAGTTCTTCTCTGTCTACGCGAGTAATTTGAGTATTTTAACTTAAATTGTATAAAGTTTAAGTTAGTATCTATTTGCTGGGGCAACCATACGCCAAAAACGAAGTCAGTATACTAATAGAACATATGGACATAATGCCACTGCAATAACGTGGTAAAAAGTTTAGGAGGGTAAAAAGTGAATAAAAACCGTTATTAATATAAAAGAACACATTATATACAAAAGGATATTAGATTCGAATGATGTATATTGTTATGTACACGTTAGGCAGGCTTTTAGGAAACCAATTTTTTCCTCTAGTGTCTTTATCTGTTTCTATTCCAATTAAGATATCTTATTCATGAAATTACTATATCCCTTTAATAGAAGACAACAGTATATTTATATTATAGTAAGTGTCTGAACAACTACGTTCATAATAGTTTGGAATAAACTATGTCGCCTAAGGTTGAACCAGGCATTTTAACGGTTACTTGACAACATAGCAAGCATAGCCCGACCAGATATTTTGAGCAATGGGTTCTCGAAATATCTGCGGCAGAAACGAAATACCTCGCTCCAAGAAAACAAATGCTTCGTTGGAGTAAATCGTAAAATGTAAACGACACTTTCATCGAAGCGAAATTTAATATTACAATTAAATGAAAATGATTGGTTGTATGAATTCAATTATTAGAATAGGCAGAAATATATATAGTCTTAAAGGCAAAGCTACAATTACATACACAAGTAATATTAAACGAAGTTACTAAAGTATAACTTTAATATCGTTATTTTTCGTGAACCCTTTGAATATAACTGAATTTGTCTCTGCTTAATAGTGAAGAAATGGTATATAGACAGATAAGTTGTATCGACAACTACCCTCATTAATGTTATAACGAAAGTACAATTAAAAATATAAAGAACCTTACTTTATGCTCGTCAAACTTCAGTACAAATTCCAGTATTTCAGCAAACTGCTTCACGAGAGCCTGCTGTTGTTCGAGATGCTGGGTCGGACTCATGCCCCCTCCCACTAAGGAGCCAAGCACTCTGGGTACCACCTGTGAGCAAATGTTAAAGTAGGTTACAAAAGTATTTAGCGCAAAGGGTCCTAGATACGAAATTCGGGGAAACATCTTTCATACGAAAGAGCATGACAGTGTAATAATTAAATCTGATCACATTTCTTCACTTGGCCATGTAAAATAAACACAGAGGCCGCCCCAAATAAGGTAAAATATTTTGAGTAAATAATTGATTGGTTACCTCATTTTTAAAATGATTGTCACTACGACATGACGTTTCGAAAGCTTTGCAGCAGCCGCGGTCACGGTCACTGTTATGCTACTAATTTATTTGGCGTTTTAAACCGTTAAAAGTGTTTTATCTTAATGAGTACGACTGGCGGAAACTACAAACAAAACATAAGGTAATATTTAAAAAATGCATGTTTCCTAGTTTCTTGTAAGATCGAGATCAATCAATAATTGTTTTTTTTGTGAAACTTGATCTTTATAGCAATAATAGTGGAAACTATTGATTCCTAAGTTCCGCCTTCGGTTGAATGAACGGGGCCGGTTGAATAAAATATTAGCTTCAAGTAAACCCGGTCAGACGTGAAACATCTGTTGTTTTGTTTCTCCCATACTCTCTTTATGGACTGCACGTCTCACTTTAGCCATTTCATCTTCTACTTCAAAGCTTGTTTTATTTTCAAAAGCAGGAATTATTTTCCTATGTTTATTTTACGTCAAAGTTAATGCGATATCTAGGTTAAGATGGAGTTGGGCTTCTGCCAAATTAGAGGAAATTGGCATTTTTATCATTTTGAAAAATAACGAGAATGAAAGTAACTACCTAAAACGAAAAATACCTTAATAAAAAAAAGAAATAAAACCAAAAACACCCGAGCTATTAGATACGGAAAGCAGCTAGGACAAAAGTATCAGTGCTGATTGTCAGCGGATTAGCATTTTTTGAGGCTGCAACTGAAAGTTGTAACCTTTTGTAAACTACAATAATGTGTCTTTGCACTTCGCAAGATGAAACTTATTTACGTTGATTTACGATGGGAAGAACAGACACGCATTGGGTCCACATGATGGAAGTTAAAATACCCCAGTCATAAACAAGAATGCTGTCGACCTATTTCACCTTTAGATATTCGGACATACTGAAACCGAAACGCGATTAAATTTCATGGCCTTTTCATCTGTAGACGGTATTTCGTAACCCAGGCGAGATTTGTATATTCTTACTAAACATTTACAATGGCGAAACGTCGAGAATCTCTTCTCGCTCACATCGGCCGAACAGCCCGAAAGAAAATGATTTGTTGGAGGGGGGGCGGGGAAAATCCCCCCCCATTTTTTTCCCCCCCCCCTCCCCTTTTTTCAAAAATTTTTTTTTTTTTTTTTTTCATCGACTCGGTGGAGATAGAAGCCACAAGCTGTTGATACTACCTTATATACATTGCTACCATTACAACAAGTCAAAAGCCTATTTTAATATCACAAATAGTCAGGATAAACGGGAAACGCTAATGCCCGATACAATTCAAGCCGATCGAAAACTGTCGAAGCAATATCACGATTCAGGAAGTTGGTATTAGTTGATTAAACTCCGGCGGTTACTGTTGGAGTGCACGTAACGAGCATTTAGTCTTGCTCCAGTTCTTTCTATTGGTAATACCATCATTGCATGTATAGGATTGTGAGACTAGAATGACGTTAGAAGACTCAACGAATATTCGGTATCGGTATATTTTATACGAGGTTCAATACCGAATATTTTGTGTATTTTTGTTATATATGAAAAAGAAAACAAATTGAAGAGTTTTTCGACTCGGCGAGGACTTGAACCGGCATCGTCGGCGTTCCGTGCTGTTGCTCTACTAATTGAGCTACCGAGGCCTATACCATGTCGTCGAATTTTTTCAACTTATATGTATTAATTATTTGATACTTAACACTTGCTTGATCGATTGATTTAGTTTTCAAAAAATCATTTAAGTAATCATTCATCAATTACGATTATAATTATGTTGTATTTCGAGTTACAATGCATGAAAATATTGAATTTTTCTTTGAATAATCTCTGGTAAAGCTATCGCGATCGTCTCTCTCAAAAGCAGACTCGTCTCTTATCCTGGTCTCATTAATTTCACTTTTATAGAACAAAACGTTTTAAATGAAAAGCGTCCGATTTAATTACAATGCTATCACCATCAAAGCTTACCATAACAATTGGGAACTTTAATATTTTATTTCTTTAGATGAAGAAAACGCTAAAAGTTTTTGTATGAGATAACAATTTCCTTATTAGAGAGTTAGGTCGTTTTTTAATCACAATAAAACACTATTAACGGTTTGAAATAGGAATAATTAGCTAACTACACGTAACGGCGTGTTTAAATTTAAGTTTGCTTGTATATTTCGCGTTTTAAACTGTTTAAAGTGTTTTACTAAAGTGTATACAATTTGCTAACTACAGGAAATACTTAAGTATTCCTCTAATTGTGTAATATCTATACTATCTAGTAGATATATATAGGAGCTCAATGATTTAACGCATAGCCTAGCAACGCGATGAGGCCTTTGTTTCGACTCCCGAGGAAACCATAATATTTTCAGTTAGGAAGAACACAGAATCTACTACTTGCCTGTAAATAAAATCGAGTTTGAAACAGACACATTAATTCGTGTGCCCCAAGTCTTTATATAATTTAAAACAAAATACGGGTCGGATCTCGAACCCGCGACCAACAAGCGTACCATCCTGCTTTATTATGAATAATAAGAGCAAAAATATGTTTGAAGGCTTCTTATATGAAACGTTAATATTCTACGCAATTCTCCTTATATATGCCGCGGTATGTTATTTTTCGGCTTACGTAGTTCGGATGTTGTGACAGCGTGATTGCGTGTAATTAATTGCGGTGAATCATGCATATTTAGGTAAGTCACGTGGAGCATTCAATCCGTGGATTGTGGTTTTGCGCTCGGCTAAGCGCTAAAGGATTGTATTTAGCCTTACAGAAATACGCAGGTGGCGGTAAATTACAAAAATGTAGATCGTACAAGGCATTGTCGGGCTCATTGGTGTAATGGTAGCAATATATGAATAATCAAGGGGGCGTGGTTTCGATCCTCACTGTGACCAACCTTTTTTTAAATAAATTTATAATTTTTCTGAAAGATATTGCACTTCGTCTGGAAATCTGGATATATAATGGATGGTAGGAATATCGAAATTCCGTCCGGGGCACGAACCGCCGTCCACAGATTAAAAAGCTGCAGATTTTAATCGAGTTTCCGTTTCTATCTATGGATTTCCGAATATCCAAAAGTAAAGCCGAAATAAGTTGACAACGCATCTTGTTATATGGCTGGGGTATTTCTTCTGTGTGACAGTGGTTCGTGACCCGGACCGGACGGAATTTCCTACCATCTTCATTTCATATTACTACCATCCATTTATTTGTCAGGTTTCCAGGTGAAGTCCAACATGTTTTAGAGAAATTACTCTACAGCATTAATAATAACTTTTGACGTCTTTTGTCTGATAAAAAAAACTGTTACAGACTTATAATAATACCAAAAATACATATTATCCAAATAATATCCTTCCAAATTTTGTCCTAATCATAATGCTCTTATATACCAATTATACATATGTATATACACAGAAAGACCTAATCTACATACAACTTATCATCCAGACAGGATGACACAGGATTCACGCTACACGGTGACGTAATACATACAACATATGGTTTCTGTATCACATCAAACACGTGCTTCCTTATGACAAAATAGTTCAATAGAACTCCTGGAACTGGAAACTACCATAAGTTTATTAATATGACTTACAAGCTACAACACAAAGAAGTGGTGTTGCTAATAAGATCTTTTATTTTTTTCCTTTTAGGTACTAGATTAAGTACATTTTTTATTAAAAATAATCAATAGTAAAGAATTTATTAAAACTATGACTAAATAAAGAGGGGTCCGTGACCACGGCTGCTGCAAAGCATCCGAAACGTCGGGCCATGGTTAAAATAATTTTTAAAAAAGTTTAACTAATACATATAATATATCGCGTTTTAAATCGTTTAAGTGTTAGTTAAGTTATTTAAACTTAAAGTAAGACTTTACACGAGAAAAAGTCTATAAAAGTATGTAAAAGTATTTTAGACCATATTATGAGAAAAGTGCTATAAAGTGTTTTTTTTAAAGAAAATTAATAATGAAGCTACAAAATCGACTATACCCGGACCAGTCTGAACACCAGCACTGCTGAGTGTGATAAGCATTCAGTATCACAGCTGAGACTGGTACCTATTGATTCCACCCTTAACTTATCTATCTATTATGTTTTAATATTTAATTTAGTAGTTAAGTATGTGTTTGAAGGACAATAAAAAGTATTGAATTTGAATATTAATAACGAGTTCTAATAATGCATTTTTACATTCATTTTGTATTAATATGGTAGAATTTGGTAGTATATCGAAGTTGATCATTAGAAAAACCAAAGCCTTTTTTTGTTATCTGTGCACAAGCGTCTGACTGCGGTGAATGGTGCAAGGACCACGCAATGCGACGTCGACACGACGTTCCTTAAAATTATGTGCAAATTCTACACTGCAGTACTTTTATCACTCATTACAAAGTAGAATTAGTAAATTAAAGGATTGCATATTTTATTAAGATTAAACGACTTGTGTAAAAAAATGTTAAAACTATGTGTTCTAGGTACTGATGTATGATAATATAAAATGAAAATGGTATTTCTGATGCTTTTAGCACTTTTTTTCATGCTCACAGATATTGAATTAAGCATTTTAATGCAATTAATGTTAATAAGACCATTTCCACTTATGGGTTCAAAAAAAATCTAGATTAGGCAATTTTTTTTCAATAAAAACATTTTTTAGACAAAGGCCCAAAAACTTTTTTTGTCATGGAATGTAACTTAAGCCGTTTTTGAGCTAAATGTTTCAAATATTGCAGTAATTCCGAGAGGTTCGTTGTTCGAATCCAGAATATGTTATACTTTC